GCCGCGCCAAGAGCAGCGTGGACTTCGAAAGACCGACGTGTGGCGCACGGATGACGGACGCCCGGTGTGCTTCCACTGCGGGGAGGCTGACCACGTTTACCGGAGGTGCCCCTACCGCCAGCTCGGCCTGCGAGGATTCGCTCCAAACGACCGTCGACCTCGTGTTGGAGAACGACCAAAGGACATCGAGGAATACCTCCGTCGCCCTCCGTCACCAGCGCCCACCGCACCACGAGGTTCCCGTTCTCCATCCCCCCGACGTTCCGCGTCGCCTTTCCGTCGGTCGCGCCGTGACAGCCTGTACCCCCTATCTCGTCGGGAAAACTAAGAGCGGCAACGCCTGGAGGTGCCGTTGCCGAAGACGACCCGAGTAAAGAGCCTCCAAGAACGCCGGAGCGCTCCCACTCTCCCGACGCCACGCATCGCTACGACGCCCCTGCAACGGTGTCCAACAACCTAAACGTCGTCATCGACGGCCACGACACATCGGCACTCATGGACACCGGAGCAGACTACTCAGTCTTGAGTGGGAGGCTCTCCCGCCGCCTTCGAAAAGTCACGACGCCGTGGGAAGGACCCCAAATACGAACCGCCGGAGGACATCTCATCACACCAGTCGGGAGATGCACTGCTCGGACTTTCTCTGCGAGTATGGCACCGTCATCGACCTCGGAACAAACCGGCTGACGCTACGAAAACCTGCTCCACCAGCGGAGGAACCCCAAGCGACGTCACCCACGGTCCGAGTCCTCGCAAACCACGTAAACCTACCACCGCGGTCGAGTGTTTTCGTACTTGTCGGGATCGATGAAGCTTCCTGTGGCGAAGTTCTTCTCGAGGGAAGCCTCCAATTGCTCCTGGGAAGAGGCAAAGGCGTTGCAAGGGGAGTAGCAGAACTTCAGGATGGGCGGACTGTGGCCCTCGTGACGAACGTCCGAAACGAAACGTAACACCTCACGAAAGGTGCAGCCGTGGGCCACGTCAAGAAACTCTGAAACCCCGCCGAAATCACCGCGACTACTGACGAATCCTCGCCGCCCCAGCAAGACAGTACGTCGCCAGCGCAGCTCGACATTGACCCTAAGCTTCCGGACCCTAAACGGCGTCAGCTGGTTAACCTCCTCGCCGAATACCGCGACTGCTTTGCGACGTCGTCGAAGGTGCGCCAGACCGCGGTTGCCAAGCACCGCATCGTTACCGAGGACGACGCGCGCCCTGTGCATCGATCGCCGTACAGAGTCTCCGCTAAGGAAAGGGAGGTGATCCATCAGCAAGTTCAAGAGATGCTGAATGACGACATAATCCAACCTTCAAGCAGTCCATGGGCCTCTCCAGTCGTGCTGGAACTCTTCGGTTCTGCGTGGACTACCAGCAGCTCAACACGGTTACGAAGAAAGACGTCTACCCACTCCCCCGCATCGACGACACTCTAGACCGGCTGCGCCACTCTCGATACTTTTCATCGATGGACCTGAAGAGCGGCTACTGGCAAATCGAGGTCGACGAACGGGACCGAGAGAAGACAGCCTTCGTCACGCCGGATGGACTGTACGAGTTCAAGGTGATGCCCTTCGGGCTATGCATGGCGCCAGCAACTTTCCAGCGTGTCATGGACACCGTACTGGCAGGGCTGAAGTGGCAGAGTTGTCTCGTCTACCTTGACGACGTCGTAGTATTTTCAGCTGACTTTGACGAGCACTTGAGACGACTCCGAGCTGTTCTTCAAGCCATTCAGACCACCGGACTCACACTCAAGCCGTCAAAGTGCCGGTTCGCCTATGACGAACTGAAGTTCCTTGGCCACGTGGTTAGTAACAAAGGCGTCCGCCCAGACCCCGAGAAGACTCGCGCCATCGCGGCATTTCCAGCGCCGACAGATAAGAAGGCCGTGCGAAGATTCCTTGGACTTTGTGCCTATTATCGACGCTTCGTTCGGGATTTCGCAAGGATTTCCGCACCACTTACGAATCTCACGAAGGACGCCGAGAAGTTTGAATGGGCCGAGGAGCAACAGCAGGCATTCGACGAACTGAAACGACGACTCCAGACTCCTCCTGTGCTTGGACATTTCGACCAGGATGCGGAAACAGAAATTCACACGGACGCAAGTAACGCGGGACTGGGCGCAGTACTAGTCCAAGTGCAAGAAGGCATCGAACGAGTCATCGCCTACGCAAGTCCGACATTGTCCAAGGCGGAGAAAAATTACTCCACAACTGAGAAAGAATGCCTTGCGGTCGTCTGGGCAATAACGAAGTTTCGTCCGTACTTGTACGGGAGCCCGTTCCGTGTAGTCACGGACCACCACTCGCTCTGCTGGCTTGCAAAGCTGAAGGACCCGTCAGGACGCCTCGCTCGATGGAGTCTTCGACTACAAGAGTTCAACATGACAGTGGTCTATAAGTCAGACCGCAAGCACAGCGACGCCGACTGCCTGTCCAGAGCCCCCGTCGAAACCCCTTCCGGCTGCAGCGACGACAATGACGACGAGTGCTTCCTAGGAGCAGTGAACACCGACGATATGGCACGAACGTCAACGGGACGATCCTGAGCTGCTCGCATTAATCGAGCTCCTAGAAGGGGGCAGGAGTACCGTGCCACGTGTCTTCTCACGAGTACCGCCGACCTTCGCCATCCGACAAGGTGTACTCTACAAAAAAAACTTCGGCGACAACAACACACCATGGTTGCTGGTAATCCCGAGTGACCTTCGAGAGGAGATCTTCCAAGCCTGCCACGACGACCCGACATCCGGACACCTTGGTTACAGCCGGACACTGGCCCGTATTCGTGAAAAGTATTACTGGCCGAAGCTCCCCAAGACCGTCCACCTATACACATGATCATGCCACGAGTGCCAGCGACGCAAGAAACCGCCGACGAGGCCGGCCGGACTTCTGCAGCCCATTTCTCCTCCAACTACACCCTTCCAGCAGATCGGAATGGATCTACTTGGTCCTTTTCCGCCTTCGACGTCGGGGAACCGCTGGATCGTCGTCGCCACAGATTATCTCACGCGGTACGCCGAAACGAAAGCTCTTCGTTCAGGGACTGCTGTGGAAGTCGCCAAGTTTTTCATCGAGTCCATCGTCCTCCGGCACGGCGCTCCCGAAGTTCTGATTACAGATCGCGGACCTTCGTTCATGGCCAAGCTGACGCAAGAGATCCTTCGTCTCAGTGGCACCGGCCATCGTCGAACCACTGCATACCACTCGCAGACCGAGCGACTCAACAAGACTATCGCCGATATGATCTCTATGTACGTCGATGTAGAGCACAAGACGTGGGACGAGGTGTTGCCCTACGTCACGTTCGCCTACAATACGGCGGTTCAGGAGACCACTGGATTCACCCCTTTCCAGCTGGTACATGGTCGGAAGGTAACGACCATGCTGGACGCAATGCTGCCCCATGAGCCATCTGACAATGAAAGCGACAACGCCCAGGCGGTTGCTCAACGCGCCGAAGAAGTCCGCCAGCTCGCCCGACTCATGATTCAAGACCAGCAACGCGTCGACGCGGGCTGCTACAACCCTCGTCGCAGGGACGTTCACTTCCAGCCCGGAGACAGGGTGTGGGTGTGGACGCCCATCCGTCGCCGCGGCCTCTGAGAAACTGCTGAAACGGTACTTTGGACCATACAAGGTACTTCGTCGCCTCGGCGAGCTGAACTACGAGGTGATGCCCGACGGAACAAGAACATCATCACGCTGCCCACCACGACCTGAAGTCGTCCACGTCGTGCGCCTGAAGCCATACTACGCTCGATAGGACTGTGGATCTTATGTGTTTCAAGTGACTCTTTAGTTTGCCGTTCTTTTTATGTGCTTTGTTTTGTTTTGGGATGCATCGGGGCGATGCACTTCTTAAGGGGGGAGTAATGCCGCGCGCCAAGTAGGCAGCGCGGCCGTAGCCTAACGGTTATCGCGCCTGCCTCCCACGCGAAAGGCCAGGGTTCGATTCCTGGCCGCGGCTATGTATTTTTGTTGATACTGTAATGTGATGTTCTGGTGAAATCGAGAACCGTCTAGCTGATTCGAGGTCAGAATGTTCTAGGCGTCGAACCTTCTACGTCGAATGCTCCAGAAGCCAACGTGTGTACAAAAGCGGCTCTGCGGGCAAGCCGGAGGCAGTCTCGTCCCAGCGTTCGACTCTGCTGCTACGCCGACTTCGACGCCCGCGACGCTCGGTTATTATCGTTTGTACCCTTTTATTTTTTGGCACAAGTTCGCCACATTAAACATTTATTTCTTCCTGTTTATTTCCTCTTATTTATTGGTCACCACCCGTGACAATATACGAACTTGCAAATATATGGTTGTGCTACATTCAAAAAGAATGTAGACAGGAAGGAATACATGACGTCTGGGGCGGACGCCCGAAACGTTGTGTGGTCCGTCGCGACGATTCATGTGCCGTTGCAAATCGTAGTCCTTCATCCAATCTATCACAGCATTTGCGCCACGACCACTTCGCCAACTCCGCAATCCAGACGTCATGGCAAGCAAAGGACAGATCGCGCTACCACGTGCAAAAAACTTTGCAGTGCTTACTACAAAAAAGAAAAAGAAAAAAAAAGAAATGCATTTAGGTTGGTTTTTTGGGTTTGCTAAGCTCGAAACCATAGTGCGCAGTCCAAAAACAAAACAGGGAACTCGACTGCAAGCTGACACTAATCGGCGAGTTCCGCGTTATTCGTAGTTTTCGAAGTATTCGAAGAACTCGAATAGTTCAAACAGCGAAAGTGTGAATCGAATTGAATCGAATAACAAGCATTATACGCAAAGTATTCGAAATTTCGAAAACTTGCACACCCCTAATTATGATGTAAATTTGAGTAAACCTGACCTTTTGAGCTCAAATTTGGCCTACCCTCCAAAGTTTTTATGACGAACATGCCGAGCGATTTTCATTGCAATCGGTCAAATACGCAAAAAGAAGACCTTTCTGGGCCGTGCCTACCCTTAAAAGCTTGAATAGCAGTGCAGAAATATTCATACCATGCTGCTGTCAGCTCTGCTCAAGATGAGAAATGCATGGGTGTTGGTGAGCGTAGCGTCTGCTGCTTGCTCATCTGATTCCTCAGATGCTTCCTTCTTCTCCTGCTGCACAAACGAAAAACACCAAATCCCTCAAACTGAGAAAATGCAAGAATAAATGTAAGACACAGTCAGATAAAATACAATGTAAAATGCAGTACTGGCGAGGAGATTGAACTGCAAGGGGCTCGTCTTGCCACATAGCTCAATGTTTACCCAATGCAAAGCTCATGAATTGGATTCTTTATGTCATCTACCAGGATTGAACGCGGGGTGCAGATTGGACACGGGTGCTGCGACAGCATGTAACTGGCACTTTTGTTCAGGCCGTGCTTCGTTGAATGCTGACGTGGTGTTTGGTCATGTTAGTCGAATATTGCATCAGAATCGCTAGTGCCATGTGTGTTCAATCTCCTCCCCTGTAGTCTGTTACATGCTGAGTATGCAGTTATACATCAAAGTATAGGCTTCCTGCATGCCATGCTTATAAGCACAAATATCTAACAAAGGTGGTGCTCTGAACCCCACATTAATTTATAACAATGATTAGACTGATCAAATGCCTTCTTTCTAGATCTAGGAGGTCCTGGCTGATAAATGAAACATTGCTTTCCGGTAACTTATAAAACAAGACTTAAAAAAATGGGAATAGTAAATGGGCAGGCATCAATGAAAAAATATCAAAGTACTGTCCAGACCGGTTATGACGAAGTCGGTTATAACAAAATAGCGGCTAAAGCAAAGTGATCAATATTTCCCATTCCTGTTTGCACTTTTCTATGCACATGTACCTGTTTTTAGCAAAGGAAATTGAGCGGCTCCCACAGATATAGCAAAAAAAAAATATTGTGATTAAAAAAAAAATGTGGAAAGTTTATTAAGTCTTTGACTGCTGCACTTTGCTGCTGCGGCCAAGAAGCCACCCACAACAGGCTGCAGAAGATGCTGGAAAGGCCGCCGGCGGCAGTCCCTGCAATGTCGTCTGCTCTCCGCTCCTTACCTGGAAAGCGGCTTTACCGCATCGCCCGTGAAGAAGCCGTCGTGGCATGCTGATAAGGGCGTTCGGAGCACTACCGACAATGTACCGGTAGAGATGACTGAGAGAGGCTAGATTTAAGAGAGGGAGCACTAAATACGCCTTCATTTGATGGCCGTGTCGCCAGTGTGGCGAGGAAACTGGGCGGAGGGACGGACACGTTTGCAGAAGGTGAACGCTTTTAAGTTTTGACTCCTTGCATGCTGCAGCTCGTTTTGCAAACACGGCCCACAAACCACGTGAGCCCTATCGAGCAGTTGCCCCAGCTCTTAAATCTAGGCTCTCTATACCGACGACAAACAAGTTTGAGCGTGAACTCAGTGCCGGGCGCGCTTCTTTGTCTGCTTCGTAATCCGTGTCAGCGTCTGGTCGGTGAGGTCGCTCCTGCGCAAAAGCCCTCTTCGCTCAAGCACCGATTCGGCGAATCATCGCCACTCAACGATGGAGAGTCCTGGCAACACCGGCACCTCAACGGGGAAGATGAAGGCAATCGCCTTGAATCAAAAGCGTTCCATACTCGACGGAGTGCGCATAAATGTAAAGAATGCCGTCCACCGCCGGCGTCCTCCGCGGGGTCGTAGCAGCTGTCGACATGGTTTGTACGTAGCAGGATCTTTTTCCGATTGAAGCTTTTCGCAGTTGGCGAGAAGCAGCTCCGACTTAAAAGAGGACGCGTGGAGGGAAGTCTCGACCGCTTCCTGCAGGCTTGATAAACATGTGCCCATGACAGCCCGTTTATCGTTTTTTTTTAATGTTATTTGTACGAGTTCATATATAACGAAGCGGATATAGCGAAGCGATTTCCAATCCCCATTGACTTCGTTATAACCGGTCTCGACAGTAAAAGCAGAACACTGCTTTGTCCGCCTGCAATATTTTTGTAGATTATTAGATTTGAAATCTATACTATTATTATTATTATTATTATACTATTATTATTATTACTTATGATTTTGTAACGATAAGCTTTAGTCTTTATGTCGCCACCCTTCCTTACAAATCACCCCAGTACAGAACAATGTTTGCAACTTTAATATGGTAAAAATAAGGATCGGTGTATGCTAGAAACATCTGGGGCAGAAACCATTGACAACCTCTGCAAAAAAATAAAAAGCCAGAAGAAAAAAACATACAAAAAAAGAAAAAAAAAAAAAAAAGTACCTCTACTATGATTAAAATGCCTGGCAACAAAGTTACCTTTTTCTCTGTTGGAGGTCCCATGACTGTCCACATATGAACGCAGCCGGGAAGCTCGAATGTAGTGACCACTTGAGGCCGCACCGACCGCTACATGGCACAGGCACCAAACTTTTAGAAATTTCATATGAGAGAAAGAGAATCTCTCCAGAGCGAACACTGATACAGTAAAGCATAATCATAACCATAATGTTTTTATTCTGTGCCCATGAACAACCAACATACCACAACATCTCGAGTCATTCATAATCCCCGAGTCATCGCCCTCCCCTAGGAATACCCCAACACGGACGGACTCCGAGATCTGCGAAAATTCATCCTACCCGAATGACGCGGCCGCAGACCTAACAGTTGGAGGACTACCGTGACAAAGTAAAACGAAGGAGGGAAAGACACTTCTTTTTGTTAAAGTCGTAGGGCCTTTGTGCGAAAAGAAAACAACGCAGATAACAAAATTAAACTTTGTTTTGCTCACAAAAAATTTGTCCGGACAAAAAAAAAAACAAAAAAACAGAGTCGGAAAGATAACACAAGCAGCAACCCATCCAGGGATTGTGAGGTAAGCGATTGCCCTATGTCCTAAAATGTAACCCTGGGGTCAAAGTTTGCCTCTGCCCACGTAAGGTCGGCAAACCCCCTCCTTCTCCCGGCACGTCGCGACTGTGGTTGCGCAATGTTTAAGACAAAGCCATTGGGTAAGATTTGCTGGAACGCCGCACACGGACGTTTGTAAAGCGTCCAATTTCGAGCTCCGTCTTTGTGGTGCCGTTCATGCCGCGCAGCAATGCCGCTTTATCCCGCGTTGATCGCATGCTGTGCATGGACACACGCATGTATGCACCAAACAAGTAAGTTGTGCAAGAGCTTGCAATTGACAAGGCACCTAACTTGGCCCGATGCCAAACTATCTGCCAATGCGATTGCCAACTTTCCTGCTCCCCCAGCATCGCTCTTCATCGCTTCTTTCGTCTGCCCACTCGCTCGTTGAGCCGCGTTGGTTTTTCTGCTTTCTTTTGGACTTCTTTTTTCTCTAACGAGAACATAGGGTGTTAAAAACATGCCTTCACAGAACAAAAGTTTGTGCACTATGCCAATCGGCAGTGTTCATAGCTTGTATGCAAGCAGCGGACTTACCAATCATAAAACATTCTTTCAAGAAAATTTTTTGCATAAAACAATGAAACTGATTCGAGTTTAGAGTTTAATGTATCACTTGTGCAGCCGCGCTAGATACGCACAAAAAAAAGGTGTTTTTTTTAGTTTTTTTTTTTTTTTTTTCAACTTTTTGTGCTCCTTTACAGAGACATGGCCCACACCACTTTTTGTTATGAATTTCAGGCGGCAGGAAGGTGGGCGATGACTCGGGATATTACGATAGGTCTGTAATGTGGCACAATAAAAAGTAATACATATATAAAACATGTGAAGTGAAGTGAAGAATGTAACAGAGACACTGGACTTACATGTGACAAGGTAATGAAAATGCACAACTAAAGGTACAGATATAAAGGATGTAACAAAAAAAAACTTACAGGGTTTTTTTACCGCAAAAATAATCTAGGCATCGCCGAACGCTCATTCTCCGCCCAATGGTGGCGCTAGAGGTCACAACCAGATGCCAAAGTTTCAGCCCGATCCAATTCCTTGTTCAAAAGTTATAAGTGATTTTCTGAAAAGTTCAAGGGGAAAATGGCGACCGGCGGAGTTTTCGAATACATGGGGCTCTATGGCATCAGAAACCGAAAAAGGGCAAAAATGGGCTCCATCTTCCCATTGAATTTTGTCAGAAAATCACTTACAACTTTAGAATAAAGTATCGGATCGGGCTGAAACTTTGGTATCTGGTTGTGATTATTATTGATTGATTATTAGGTGTTTAATGGTGCAAAAAGCAAAATAGGCCATGCTGCACCAAAGGAATAATTAAAAGACTGTATCTGGTTGTGACCTCTAGCGCTACCTTTGGGCGGAGAATGAGCGTTCGACGATGCCTAGTTTTTTTTTTAGGTGAAAAAACCCCTGTAAATTTTCTTTTGTGACACCCTGTAGTAGGCCAAGATAAAGTACACTTGTAATATTGGTACAGACGTTTCAGGTATCAATATTACAGCCAAGATATTGATGCAGTCAAGATATTTCCTGAAAGAACTGACTTTTGCTACAGATTGGGTTTACAGGAAACGAGCTCACAAAACTAGCAGTTCTAGCATCTGTGGAATATTACACAAAATGTTGGGCAAAATCCTCATGCACTCTCTTCCCCACTTCTACTGCCCAAGAAGTTTGCTTAACTTTAAAGTTCTGGAAATATACAAGTCAAACACAGCTTCCCTCCCTCTTAATTCCCTCTTTCCTTGTCAAACTTTTCTTTTTCTTGTACAATTCTTTCAGTTTTAATTGCAAGATGTTCCTTGACCACCTATAGACGCTTTACACACGCGCCAGATTGAGCCGCCATAGCCGCCCTTCTCTTGTCTTACCGAGATGCCGAGCTACTAAAGCGGGCGTTTACGGGTCTTCACAAGGGCCTATGCTGCGCACAAGAACACAGTAGCATCTAAAACGGCAATAACCTGTCCTGCTGTGGTAATGATGAAGTGAAGCGAACGGAATAAGAGGGAACAAAAACTGAAGGTCAGTTATGGCGGCGCCCATGCACAGCTGCTGCAAAGCGTCTATACTTAGCACCTTGCACATGACAGAAGTTAGATCAACCAATCCCACTAGGAGGGCATCAAAAACACTATCCTTTCTACAGTGCGGAGTTCAAACCACACTACTCCCTTGCGTCTTTTACAAACTAAGTCGACTTCGTTTCAAGTTTACTTGCATTTTCTGTACCCAGATGAGCCTATAGAAAGGCCCAAATGCTATCGTATTGTCTAAATGATGAAACAGACTCGGTTGCAATGAGCATACCTGCAGGACGCAGAGAGCCCCATTTTTTCCGTAGCCTGCCGTTGTGACTAGCTCGAGGTCTGGGTCACTGTTTTGCGTGAATTCCTCAGACAGGAATGCTGGCTCACCCATGCAGATCTTCCCGCAGGGCCCAATGTTGATGAGACTGTCGCATACCTACGATTGCAGGCAAAACTATCAGGATTCTGCACACTTTGTGGCTTTTGACAATGAAACAGCCACTGCGGTGACACTAACCAAACCTAGAAACAACTTAATTGGCTCATTCATATGTTCCTCGGTATGAGATTTTGACTCCAATAAACAAAAGGACAGCCACTCACCGCCTTGGGAAACAAGTGCACAAGAAAATCATAGTGCACAAATATCCTAAACAAAAGGGTACTCAACAGCAGTTTTCCCACCATACCCAGATCTAGTACTAGGTACATCCAGAGCTGTATATTGAGAGTTTGGCCAGTTTATGATCTTGCCGCCATAACGCACCCTCCCGAGTGAGCCAATCAGCCCACGGTACAGAGTGAGAGGCGCAAGCGCATGCGCGTGAACTCCCGGCTGTTCCCAGCTGTGCAGGGAGGGCTGCCATTTTCATTCATTCACCCGGTGGAATGCACGGCATCGACATCTAAATTTCGCTTCTTTCCTTTTATTTCGCTGGCTCTGGCAAGTGTTATTCCTCGGTGTGTTAAAAAGCTAACAAATAAAGTTTCCTGAATGTTTGACCGCGCACTTTTATTCAGGCGAAAAAGAAGTCTGCTTGTATCAGACGACGCGTAGCCTCAACCGTGCTTCGGGCCGAAAGAGTGTTGCGTAAAAATGGCGGTCGTTTCCTCTTTGCTCTCTCCTTCCTCTCGCTCCTTCAGCACTCTCCCTCATTTCCTTCACTTTTCTCCGCTCCAGCGCTTTCGTCGCCATGCCTACTGGCCAGACTCTCCCAATATATGGCTCTGGGTACATCCATAGCAACTGAAAAAAAGATATAACGAGGCAAAACTCGCTCCAGGTTAGTGGTACAGCAGAGACTTCACAAATCGAATAATCAAAAGAGGCTACTGCAATTACTATCATGCAGCTTTCTTAACTTAAAAAAATCATAAGGTTTTCTTCTTCCATCTACGGTCAAAAGTTGCAAGTAGCATAGCATGCCCCCAGATTCTGGAGAAATTTTATCTTTCATTCCAAGTTAACGCTCTAACAAACCGCCGAGAGACAACTAGAACTCATTTTAGACGACCAGCTTGTTCGAATGCCAAGCAGAAATCTTCGAAGAACACGAGACAAAATTACCTCAAAAGTGTACGATGTCAACTGCTTTGTGGCCAGGGTCTCACTGCCATACACCTCCAACTCATCCGGATCAATAAGGGCCACATCTTTAGCTGTATAAAGAAAGAAAACAAGTGTACACATTAATCATGCTAAATATTTTGTACAATAAACAGCTTTATGCTTCCAAGTGAACGAATCCAATGTTAAACATGCCCATCCAGTCGCCAATGGCATCCATTCTTTTCTTCTTCGATGGCGGGTCGTTCGCCTGCAAAGATATCACAGGAGCGCGGAGAAAGGTAAAAGGAACCTGACATTAACAGTATGGTTTTTCAGTGTTCAACAGCAAGACAGAAACTCACATCTCCCTCAGCCTTGTCTTCCTTCTTCCCAGCTTCTTCCATTTCTGCAGCTTTCTCGGTGTAGTGCAGCAGCAGCGAATTCCCAAGCCTCGATCCCAGAAAGAGGTAGCCTTCCTCACAAAGTGTCATCTGTTGCGGAAAGGAGCATATCAATCATCGGCATTTTACAATACAGAAAAGGCAATTTTTAGGCACGACTTCGGCTGAAACGTCAATCCTTGGGCATCGCCAAAGGTCAAGAGCAAAGCTGAACTAAACCTACACTCGTGGTGAGCACACTAGCCGCTGCCTTGTCGAAGTTGAAGTTGCGGACGCTCCTCATGCCATCGTTGAAAAGGGTCAGGACGTACCTGTCATGTTGCAAATGAAAAGACAATGAAGTTGCCAAGGAGGAGGGAAACCAAAGTTAATTCAATAATTACCATATCACACATTTAGGCTACTCACAATTCACCTCCTTTGAGGGACAGCACGAGCCTGTCATAGCTCAGAAAACACGCCTGGGCACAGTCCAGAGAAATCTTCACCCCTTCTTGTGGCTCTGTTGCAAAACAGAAAAGCCTTAGAGAGCCCAGTCAACAGAACATGCGCATGACTTCAGGATCTCTATTTGACACAGCCTACCATTAATTTAAAGACGTTATAAAAACTGGAGTTAAACAAATCTAAAGTGACGCACAAAATACTACTATATGTAGCACTAACACTCCTGCCCTGGGCTAGTTTACGAGAAATCCTATCTGCTGAATATCATGAAGTATGCCACAAAACAGTTTTGTGTACAAGCAAAATCTAAATTCCTCTAATGGCATGTTCGAAAAAGGCTCTCTCGTGGTTTTCCTTTTCTAGAGCTTCAAGTGGACAGAAAGCCAAGCTAGAAAAAGGCCAATCAGTCATAAATCCGGATGTAAAGCTAGCCTTCAGAAGCATGCAAGCAGCAAATAAATTTATACCAAAAAGTGTTGCTTACTCAGTGGAAAAGCAGTACTGAAGTCGGTGAAAGAATTGAGCGACACTCCGTAAGGGGGCACACTCTGGTTCAGGTACAGCAGGGAGTCGACCGCCATGACTAACACTCCACCTAAACGAGAACAATCAGAGGAAACAAATAATCCCATCTTAAAGGGGGATGAGAGTCGAAAAAAGGCAATATTTTGCAAAAAAAAAGTGATTTTGGGTTTTATGGTGTTTTATTATTGCTGAATTTATATTTGATGTATAAAAATAATTAGTGCCGTTATGATCTCGAAATTAGTCAAATATGCATTTGAAGACCTCCAGGCAACCCAGAACGTCAAGAATTTGAGTCATCTTTCTCTGCATGGTTCTTCGAGTTGTGAAGTCGCCCGCCATCAGATTTACATTGTCAAATAGGCCAAGTTGTCTCCTCTCCGCAGTGGTGGAACTAACAAGTGGTGATTTGGCGCAGCTCTTGTAGCAGGGAACAATGGGTTTCGGAGCAGAGATTCCCACTTTTGGAACAGAAAATTTTGAGCTTTCATGTCAGAAAATTTAAAACAATCTCTTCATGAGTTAGCCTGTAAAAAACTGCAGTTGGTGGAGTGTTGAGAGACTATTTAAAGTGTCATACCTCCAAGGGACCTGGCCGCTTCAGATTTTTATTTATTGAACAATCATACGCGGGTAATTTTGGAGACGTCTCAATTAACCTATTAGAAGTACCGTGGCACCTTCGGTCGTGTTAGACACAAAAAGACATTTTTGCCTTTTTTGTAAGATTTGTATCATGGTGACATAATTGTGAGTTTGACATCAAACTAACACTTTTGTGTTGACTGTGTCTCACGCTGCTCTCTGCTTTGTAGTAGCTAGGCATGTGCAAACAATGGATTTTGGGGTCGAAGCAAGTTCGAAGTGTAGAGTGGTTTTGGCCAAATATTCTTTCATCAAATGTTGAATAGTTGCTGCACCTTCCTCCATGCCTTTCACTACTGTTACAGCATGCTTAAACAGAAATTCAACTGAACTCACGAAGGTTGTTCCCAAGCTTCTAATCGCCCACTTATGAGCTCTGTTAAATTTAATCTAGCTATATTCATAGACTGTGGCCTCAGAAAGTCTAATACCTACATTGGGATGGCAAGTAAACAACAGGTTTGACATACAATTAAACCTATAAAGGACCCCAGCCATACATAATTGAGGGGATTATAAATGTTCTTGCTATATTCAAATATTCCCTTCAATTCTGAATTAAGAAAAAAAAAACACAAATAATAGACACAGGTTGTTAGAACATTGCACCCTAACATATACCCCTGCAAAATAGACACAGTTACATTTTGAACATTTTTCTGCAATGTAAATATCAACAATCACATTTCCTTTTCTTTTTTTATATACATCAGGCGTATGTGTGCATCATACTGCTCTGAAGGTGCGTTTTTCACCTAAGCGCGCGGCTGCACTGCGGCAAAGCGAGATCACGGTGACAGCTCTGCGGGTATTGCTTGTCCGCAGTGCACTGGTGCGTGAAAGTATGAACATTGCAGTTCATTTTGAAGCGAATATCAAATAGCGTATTAACTGATTACTAATATTTGCACAACCCTACTCTTCGCACATAGTACTCAGGCATCCGAAAAAGAAACAAAAGAAACTGTACTTTCTTCACTTTTATGGCATTGCGAACAATGCCATGTGCCAGACACTTTATGTTTCCTTTCCGAGAACAGCTCCCTTTTGGCGCAGGCATGGCGCAAATTGTGCACAAATACATCCTTTGGAGCAGCATGTAGCAGGTTACTCGCTTCGGAGCAGCACAGCAGTTCCAACACTGCTACTGCAGTCTTCTCTAGCCTCAATCTCTCAGGGAATCTTAATAACAAAATAATATTTTCTGCACCGCAAACGATTATAGCTGCACATCTATGGTAACATTCGAACATGTTTTTATTTTTATGTAATTTTGGGGCATCTTCACTGTTTGTGTGCAAGGATTTCTGTCCTTAGTATTGTCCTATCACAATCAAATGTGGCATGTACATACTTTAGAATATGTAGAACTAGAATGCAACTATCTAGGTTTGGTTAGAGTGTACTTTTTTTTTTATATTCATGAAAAATTTAAGAAACTTTCGTTAGCCCCTTGAAATGACATATTTCTATTTTTATTTATTCTAAAATTGCACCCACTGGTTTGCACCTAATGGTTTAAAAGGAGCAAATTAGTTTACTAGGCTTTTTTTAAGCGTGTTGCCATGCCTCACATTCGCACAAGAACACATTTTTTCCTGCATGTACATTGCATCAAGAACCTAAAAAAAAACAAGCTACATAAAATCCAACACCAGATTTATATAGAAAAGATTAAGCGCCCTAAACTGTAAAAATTCCACTGACTTCAATATTGCAAAACTTTAATTTTAAAAAAATTCCCCCTGGCGCATGTCCCCTTACTGCAACACAATGAACGAAACTGCATTCTAGCATGCAATGGAGCAAATCACATAGAACATAAAATTTTGCCTTTAAAAATGTGCAGACCAGATAGCCCAAGAATCGTAATCGTAGCCCATGATTGAGGGTAGATGCAAACGTTAACGAGGGTGTTATAAACTTGGGTCTTGCACTGCCAGTCTCAAGTGTCCGCCTCATCTCAGGTTCTTGCCAAGTGGGGTCTGCCCGGGATCTTTGACAACCTCGCCGGACGTTTGATCGGTGCTCGCGGGGTGTCGCATACCGAGCGGCTTGGGGACGGCCAGCAGCTGGAGGCAGTCGAAGGGCAGGCCGGTGCAGGACCAGATGACCGGGTGCACCCGCTGCTGCAGGTTCAGGGACAGGGCCAGGATGCAGCAGGTGTCCTGGCGGATGGCCACTCGTCTGCCGGGGAGACGCGACGGGGGGGTTACCTCTCCGCGTCACCGCCGTGCTGCCGACAACGACTAGCAACGCTCGCCACTAAGACGGGAGGGGACAAAGTGGAGGTCTGTTGTACGAAGTCACAAGAATGACGTGAAATTTAAATATGGCTAAGCATCTGTACTAATTTCGGCCGCCTTGGTGGCTCTGAAGCAAAGGGATCCCTGGTTGGTGGGTTCAAATCCTGCCGAGGTGCCCACAATCTGACGCAGGCTCACTTGCGGAGAAGGCACCGTGCAACCGGGATTTCGGTGGCGTGTCAAAAGATCCCCCGGTAGTCGAAATTAATCCTCAGTCCTCCACTGGAGCGTGCCAGATGCCCTTCGTTGGTTTGGCACGTAAAACCCTCAAATTTGACTTTTGTATGAATGCCTAGTGTTGACAACACCGTATCCCAAGACCAAGAAAATGAGCCCCCTATTTTAGATGCAACACCATAAAATTACCCAATTCAACAATTAACTATTCGAAGTGGAATGGTGTTTTCAATTGCATGAAATAAAAAATATGTACTGTAAGAGAAAAATTACTAAAGTAACAAGGACAAACAGGGTCCAAAACTGGCAAACTGTTTTACTCGGATAACGAGTGAACTTGACAATAATAATAACAATAATATATCACTATCATTTGGTTTCCAAAAAGTCAGTCTTTATATGTAGCACATACCAACAACTAAAGAGAGCATTAAACATGGAGCAGTTTGAGTAGAATTAGTGCAAAGAGGAAAAACAATTCTATTCCTTGCCAAACTATCGTGGCAAAAAGCAGTGGCAACACAGAGTGTATTGTGTTATGCTTTGTGGTAATGTTACATAGATATACTTAATTAAACTCTGTCTTCATTCACGAATGGGAGACCATAATGGTGGTGCATTTGGAATAATGAACATTATAAAACATAGCCAACATTTTTAAAAGAACCAAAATTACCACCAGCCTGACAGTTGCCTTTACCACCTTTCGTGCAGCATCTTGTATTTGAATTTTAAATATTTCATAGTGTACTGTAATTTTTGCAAGATCAATATTTCACAAGCCGCAAAGTTTGCAAAATTTTGGTTTTTGTGAAAAGTTGCTTACAGTAAACCAAGACGTCAATAAAATTTCAGGACTTTTGAAGACACATCACTATTGCATAATCATTGCTTAAAACTATACCAGCCGCTGCAGTTACACAATGAGCCTAAGATTTTGCACCTCAGTAGGTATGTAGGATAAATGCCAGGTCGACTGCTTAGTCTCCGAACGGGAGGGCAGGAATTAGAGCCCAAAGTATGGGCGACAGCATTAAGTGCAACGTAAAATACCAAAAACAGGTAAGGCTTACGTGGAGCGGCTAGAGAAGAGGAACAGCAATGAATGCGCACAAGGAACAAGGCGGTGCTGCTCTGCGCGAGGGTAGCAAGCAACCAAGGACACTCACCCAGGCCAGGTGCGAAGGGGCTCGTACAGGATCAGCAGGGTGGGCTCGTAGTAGCCATGCAGAAACTGCATGTCGATGACGTTGTTGATCTTCTCATCCAGCTCGGTCAGTGCGACTGGATACCAGTCTAGTAGAGGTGGTTTGCTGAAGCCCGGCAACAGAGAACAGTTCAGTTCACAGCACTCCTTACAGCGGAAGGTGCAGGGGTGTGAAACAAAAGACTTCTACTGCACCAGACAATGTGCCGTTGTGCGGTCACTTATTTACTTCTCTTGCGTATATTGAGACACAGATTCTGAGACATCCTGTCTCCAGGAACACCTACCTAGAGACTGGTAGCCGAGGAACCCTTCCCAGTCTCGACATTAATGTGGTAAAATGGTACAGAAGCCTACAGGCCATGTAAACAGTGGTGTCCATACACTGGGATGTCTGCCAAACAGTTGCATGCCATTAGATGGCTTAGATCCGCTAAAAGATATTGCTTTAAAAGGGAAAACTCTTCACTTACAAGCAGGGACGGTCAAGAAAATTTGGGAGCTCGAAGAACCTTTAGAGGAACACAGGCACGTAGCCAGGGGGGCGGCCCATGGCTACGTGCCTGTGTTCCCCCCCCCCCCCCCCCCCCCGAAATCTTCAGATTTTGCAGGGACCTCCTCTCCCCCCTCCCCCTCATACAGCATTTTGTCATGGGCAGGCCGCCCTTGAAACAAAATCCTGGCTACCTGCCTGGAGGAACACCTGTGTTCTTAGGAACCAAGTATGAGAACCCTTGTACTATTAGGATGTCCAAAAACTATCAAAAGTGTCCCTTTTTAACTAAATAAAAGTTAAAATTCTGTTAGAAGTCTCCGATTCGGAATGATGCACTTCTCCATAAAGAAGCCGGCTTTCCAGGGTTTCTCTTTAGCTGGCTTTACCACCGCACATTATTCTCGCAGTTCACCGAGCGGGCGAGCAACTTGTAAAGTTTTAACTAATTTGGCATGCCAATGTTCCCCATAACCCCATTACAAGTGCCCATTTGAAGAATGTGGTAGATGTTCAGGGCAGTATCGCCGCATCCCATCCTACAAACTTGGGAAAGCAGCATGAAGCTTTCCTGGTTTTTAATCACTCAAAAAATGAAACCTCGACAGTATGAAAGAAGCTCACTTTCCAAAGGTCGGTCCTGTCTCCTGCTCCTCGGCGGCCGTGTCCTTCCGAAAGGGCACCACGGCAATGGTGCGACTAAAGACCAACATCGCCGCGCACCGGTTGCAAGGGTCCACCCGAATCATTGGCAGTTGGGTCATTTGCACATAGCCTCCCTGTCGAACGGAAAGTAGAAATCGTCAATCGACACACGGATGCGACTGCGTCATTTCGAAACGGAACCAACGACGCATTCGATAGGCAGACAGACTAAAGGCCTGTTCAGACACTTGCGTTTGCTCAGGAGCGAGTTCTTGCAACCTCTCACGACGCCAGAACGCACTGACATGCTGGAGCAATCTATGAGGTGACCCTGGAACTGCATTTCATTAAAGCGAAGGTTCTGCAATAGTTGTTATGAGACCAAATATACATACTATCTATAAAAGATGGTTGCTTATAATATATAGTCAAAAGCTTTTTTAAGAAGAAAAAATGATGAACAAAAAAAGAAAAAGAAGTGTTTCAAGGCTACCCAAAAAAGATTTCAAGAGGTTTCAAGGCACACAATCGTAAGCAGACACAAGTGTGTGAACCAGTATTAGAGCGCCGGGACACAATGAGCACTGGTCTTACCTTGAATTCTTCTTTCTCAAATGTCTTGATGCACACTGTCTTCAAGTCATGAGTGCTTGGATCATACTCAACCATCGACAACTGCAAGACAAAAAAAAAAAAAATACTCGCCATTGTCAGGAGTGCAGTACGGCCCGTTCCAATTTTATCTGTCCCAACTGCAGCAACTCACTCGTATGCATGCGCATATGTGAGTATGTGCACAGCTCATTGCCACAAGAGCATATTTCTTTTACCTTGGCATCTCTGAAGCAGAGCAGAAGGGTGTCTCGGGGACCCGAGAGGCGCACTGCTTGCAGGCATATGACGTTGCCAAACAGATTGAATGTGTGCGTGTGCTCCAGTTTGACACGGTGCTTTTGTTCTGCATACTGTAAAAGACGCAAGCAGTTAAGGAAGTCCGATGTTCAACAACTCTCGCCCGCCAAAATCCCAGCACAGTACGAGCCAACTAGCGGTTAATTTCCAATTGTTTTGAAGCAGTTAGTGGACAGAGCTTATTGCTGGAGCAGCCATCATATGCCTCATTGTTAACTTGACCACATGTCCTGTCTGCAACATGCCAAGTCTCTTTCGAGAGTTACCCTAAATTCAAAAATATCTTCCCGAAGCACCATGACACTCTCGTGAAGAATCCCACGCCAGACTTTGGAACTTGTACGCTTTGCCTGTTATGAAGGTGATGTAGTCTTTCCTCACCCACTGTTGTAAATTCAGGACCTGAAGAAGACAGAAGGAACACCAAACGTAGCTAACACAAACTTTATTAATGCAAAAGCATTAACTGTCCCATAAAGCAAACCGACGTTATCAGCTTTTGAAGCTGCACCAAACGGCACCTAAATTCCTGTCTGATAGAGCAAAGCCTGTAGTCTGCAGCAGCGAATCGATAAATAAACTCTTATTGGCTGGCGCGCGGCATAGTTCCAAAAAACACCACCCCACTGCCAGGATGCAGTGGCCCGGCCGCTGGTAAGAGGGAGGGTGGCCGGGCTCTGCAGAGCGGCCGGCTGCAGAGCCCGTCCGGGCAGCACCCACACAGGTCACCTGGCCGGGCTCAGCACGACGCGCAGCTAGGAGGAATACGTTACATGCATTCCGACACGTTGGCATTTTTATGTGTCCTTATATGTGTTTGTCCACCCGTAAAAGCTCTTATAGTTCTGACATGCCCTTCTTCTATACATGGGTATTCTTCCACATGCCGTGAATCGGATTTCTATATTTGGTGCAGATGACGGGTGTAGTGGTGACTCAGCTGATGCAAGTTATTACGAACCCGGGACCGTCATGCTTCAAGTTCAGTCCCCTGGCAAGAGACGGGCAGTGGCCTATGTATCGAGGACTTTCGCGACCACCGAAACTTGCTACAGCCAGCCCGAAAAAGAAGCACAGGCCGTAACGTGGGCAGTCGAGTGCCTCAATCAGTTTTTGAAAGGCATCGACTTCCAAGTCAGCACGGATCACCGCCCTCTCGTCACGCTATTGAGATCTGTGGAGTTGGATCTGATGCCACCTAGAATTCAGCAACTACGCATCCACCTCATGCACTACCAGTTCACCATTCTTTATGTCCCCAGAAAACTTTTAGCTATGGCAGACACCCTGTCAAGGGCCCCGGTGCAGGAACTGGACCCTGTCTGGAAGCCCTACGAAAGCACCATGCCGAAGACGGCATCTGCTCAGGCTTGCAACGCTTCTGTGAAAAGGGGTGGCCAGAACATGTGTCCAGAGTTCCTGTGCATCTACAAGAGTACTGGAAGAAATGCGGGAACATCACCGTGTGCGATGGCTAATTACTCAAAGATCGCCGCATCTTTATTCCACGCTTGATGCGACACGAGATACTGCAGCTGATACATGAAAGCCATCAGGGCATCGGATGCTGCAAGGCAAGAGCAAGGGACACAGTTTGGTGGCTTACTCGAAACAGCGAAATAGAGCAACTTGTGACAGCCTGCGAGCGGTGCTCCTAAACAAAAGTACAGTGCTCTAAGCCACTAATCAGCACACCGACTCCCAGTCGTCCGTGGCAGAGAGCCGGTGCGGATCTGTCCGAGCTCGAGTGGAGACACTACGTGCTCGTCGTAAACTATTACTTCAGCTTCCCAGAGGTCATCTGCTTGAAGTCGACGACATCAGCATCCGTCATTGCAGCGGTCAAGAGCACATTCACCCGGTTTGGGATCCCCGACGTGCTGGTATCAGGCAATGGGCCGCAGCTTTCTTCGAGAGAGTTCGCCGAGTTCGCCCAGCGCTACGGTTTCCATCACGTCATGAGCAACCCACGCTAACCACAGGCGAATGGGGAAGAGGAGCGTATGGTGCGGACCATGAAAGAGTTGTTCTACAAGTCATGGGACCCACACATGGCCCTCCTGGTGTATCGAGAAATTCCTGGAGTGACCGGCTACAGTCCGTCACAACTGCTAATGGGCCGACGGTTGCAGACAAAGGTACCGAAGATGCCAGAGACATTGCAGCCAGGGTGGCCATCACGTTGGAACTTCAAAAGAAAAGACGGGGAGGCCCAAAGACACCAGCAAGAGGACGTCAATCGCCGTCACGCCGCTTGCCAACTTCGCCCGTTGTCCGTAGGAGAAGACGCGTGGGTACAAGACGTACGGTGCCGAGCAACAGTCCTCAGTCCAGCGAAGCGGCCGTGCTCCTACATAGTTGAGACCGGGACAGGAGTCCTGCAACTCAACCGCAGGCACCTGGTACCATTCAATGTGTCGCTGGCGGTCTCCGACGCTCCGGATCCTGGCAGTTTGACAAACAAGACTATGGCTCCAGCCCGCCCGGCGGTTTCAACGGGAAGAACAAGTCCGAGTGCGGGAAGCCAACAACAGCCGACTGCAGTCGAGCCTCCACCAACAGCAGCGCCGACGAACTTGACGAACTCCCCGTCAACATCAACGTGGATGGACAATACGCCGATAAGAGTGACTCGGTTGGGCCGCCAAGTTAGGCGACCGGTACATCTGGACCTGTAAAAACTGAGAAGGGAGGATGTAGTGATGACTCGACAGTTTCCACTCGCGTGCCCCATGGCGAAGCGTAGTTCTGTCCCTGCGAGTGCGGATGCTCTGGGTTATCTTGAGTTTAATGAATGGGATAATAAAACCCTTGGGTTCCGGACTCCAGTGTGGCTGGTCGCTCCTTCCCAACAAGACAACGGAGACACCAATTATTTCTGGAGTAGTATAATTGGTACAGTGATCACTGCCAACCTGATTCATCGAACCCTTTTGAGTCAAGGACCGAAACTTGCAGACGTCTCACATAGCTAGTATTCACAAAGTTTGGTGATGATGGCGCTTCCTGAATAAGAGTCGCGACACCTAATGAATCTCTTCCTGCTGTCATGTCAGTGCCTTCATTTTGAAGTGTGGTTTAAACTGGCTGTGGCTAGTCTCAATGTGGTAGTCCAGGAGGGCTAGGTTGGACATTTACATGTACGTTTTAGAAGGCCACATAAGTGACGTATTGGCGGCTGACTGGTGGAGGCAATTGGCCCCGCCAATCAGACACCAATACGCCACTCCTGTGACCTTTTAAAACGTACATGTAAATGTCCAACTTAGCCATCCAGATAGTCCTTACTCACGTATGCCACCTCATACAACGTAAACCGCACCATGACCCAAATATAATCTCAAGAAATTTTAACAATCCAGAGACAACAAAAATGGCATGACTCACATCATTCTCGGGCACAAGCCGAAAAACCTTGAGTACAGAAGAGCCGGCGACGACCAGACTCCTCTCCCGGGAGTTGTAGAAGTTGCAGTAGATGGAATGCTCGACGCCAGTCGGAGGATGGGTTTGCTTGTAGACCGCGTACATGCTGGTCGACATCTTCACCCTCTCTTCGAAATGCTGTCATGACCGCGACACAGAAACGAGAAAGCCGATATGATTATCGTCACCCGTCACATCAGATTCGAATAGCAACAACGTGTTGCTAAAACTTCGGAAACCGGGATGCATTACTGTAGCTCAATAGTGGCACGAAACGTACATTAAAGTTAGCTGTTATAAGAAACAGTAAATCATGCAGTACTTTTCGTACTAGGAACTCGTAAATATGTGCCGACTTGGTGCCGACAGTATGCACTACCTATCTCGACCATGCTTGGATTTAGGAACATCACGAATCTTGATCTGGAGTTATTATGAGTCTCATAGTTAGATTTTGAGCATATTGTGAAATTCTCACCTTTATGGTCTCCATTATTTTGGAATATCAGGCAGTCAGCTTCAGAGCATAACCTTTCAAAGAGTAAACGTCAACAACACAGAATCAACCAAAGTTCGCCATTATCCGCGACTCGCCGCGCGTGGATAATGGCTAGACATATAAATTAAAAAAAAAATCGCTCTACGAATTAAGCGGTAACTTGCGCCACCTATTTTGTATGTATTAAACGTTACAGAACTTTAGAAGAATAGGTCTTTACTTTTTTTCCCTTACAATCTTTACCGTTATTTGTTAACTATTTGTGCGCCAAGTATTTCATTTGCAGTTATAGACCACAGTAAACGCTAACAAACCTTCACAGCCAATCTGACACCGTGATGTCGCCATAGGATGTTGTCGTTATTTTGCACTCAAGGAAACTCACTGATCTCAATGGTCTCAATGCACAACAAAAAAGGCTTTTTTTTTTTTTTTTTTTTTTTTTAATGACGTGCTGAATGCTGAACTTGAACAATATTAGAAATCTTCTGCCATGGGTCGATTTACTCTTCAACGTGAAAAAGCAATAAATACATTAGGTCTGTTCGATTTGACCAGAAAGTTCTGAACTATACTCCGTTTCAAACATAGCGTGCAACGTAGTCAAAGCTAGCGCGCCGGTTTGCACAGCCGACCGCGACTACGCTCGCTCCACAAAATAGTGCGGCCCCTGAAAAAAAAAAAAAAAAAAGTCGAAAAGTGTACATCTTTGTAGCTATTAACTAATAGTGGCGTTATGATTTCGAGGGAACACCGATTCTTTTTCAATAAAAAGGAAAAGATAATGTAAACTACTCCAAATTATTTTCCGTTTTCGTTCGTGCGGCACTCGCACTCGCTTCGGGTTTTCGGGTTGCGCGGCTGCCCCTGCCTCGCCGGTTTCGTGAAGATGGCGTCTTACGCGGGAAGCTTTCTTTTCCTGCTCGGATATTTTCGAAGATTCGTTGTGTGAAGATCTCGCAAAAGTGCAAGCAGGTGATCGCCAACGTGTACGCGAGTTCAAGAACGTGTTTCCCGGAGACGTCGGTCCGTGAGGTCCTGGAGACGGTCAGTAACGACACCGGAGTGTCTGGCAAGGTGGCGTCCCCGAAGCAAGACCTCGCAACGTGAAAGTTCCGAGCACGCGGACAGTGTTGTGAACTGCCACCTGTTATTTCTGGTGTTGAAATCTGCCTTATGGCTTCAAAGTGAAACAAGCCTCAAGAAGGAACTGTGTTGGTGATGAATCGTGACAGCGGCTCCGTCTGCTTGCGGGACCTTACAGCAGGTGGTGCCCGTGATTGCATTCCGAAGCGTCTGGGTTCTTCTGCCTGCGGGACCGTAATCTTGATCGGCTCCGTCTGCCTGAGGCACGGTCGGCTAAGTAAACGACGCACATGCCCGTGCCTGTATTCCAAGGCCCCTGCTTTCCTCGAAAAGGAAACAACACTCGATCCTGATCTCGAGTGCCGTGTGTTGTGAACGCGTCTATTGTGCATCACTCCCGCTTCATGGGGGCGCCGGCACCAGAGCACCGAGATACTGCCGTCTGGATGACTTCTTCCATACACCGGCGAGTATTCTGACTCTGAAGGAAACTTCCATGAAGTCACATCACGTGAGGGAATGCCAAGCCGTCTGAACAATGGCAGTGCGGTCCCCTAATCACAATATTCGTTATATAAAGGACCGTCCACCACACTCTCAAGGTACTCTCTGATTTTCACGCTACCATGTAAATAAACGGCTTTAAATAGAGACGCCCTGGATCTCGACCGTTCTTCCGTTTTGACGAGGCCGGCGCAAGTTCGAGCGGAACACCAGCCCCTAGTCTACCTTCTTATAAATAAAAATCAACAAGAAAAGAGGAATTGAAATATGCACTTCCGCAATACGCACAATCTTGTACAAAAAATCGCTCGTAAAAAAAAAAAAAAAAAAAACTTGCCGCCCTAAGTGGATTCGAACCACCGCCACCGAGATGTCGGCATCGCCGGCATCGCCAGAGCAGCGCCTTGTACCAGCTTGTACCGCTCGTCACTTCAGTAGCTTTCCCAGCGTTGCACGCGATGTTTGAAACGGATATAGCTCCTTCGGAGCAGAGTAGCGCAACCTAGAACGCCGTCTCTCGGCGACTAGCGGCGAACGCCCGGAGGTTCCAACTGCGGTCAGAAATGCATGGAGAACGTGAGAAAATCGTTGTTCCTTCAGTTTTGTGGGGATGTACGGAATGGGAATCATTTTTGACATAATAATGAAACATTTTAGAATAATTTGCGATAAGTTTTGTGCCATGCAAGGACGTAACTTTTTTTAAAAAATTGCCTGAGCGGCATCATGCAGCAGACGACACGGCGACGTCACACCATTCACGTGACCCGCTCCGGCCAACCCGAAAAGCCCATCTCCGCTGCGAGCAAACATCGTCTGCTTCAAACGCCATTGCCCTGGAAATTGCCTTCTCAAAATTTGCACACGCATCCGATATTATTCAAACTTTGATAAAGTGTTCAGCGCTTTACTAACTTCACGACAGGCTAGTTTTGAAAAATGTGAACTCGCCGTTATTTTTTTAATCAGCCGTGTTATGTCGATCTCCATGTATTCTCCCATAGGGCGGGCCGCCTCTTGGAACCCTGAGTACCACGTGACTTGCGCCGAGCTGCTCTGTCGGCCATGTTGTCGGCAAAACACGGGGTTCAAAGGATTGCGCTACTCTGCTTCGTAGGAGCTATATAGTGCTCTAGTTCAGACGAGTGCAGGAGTCGTGCAGCGACGGCGCAGAACCAGTGCAGCCGCCGCGCTTGGACTGGCGCTGTGATCGGCTTTCCGAGCTTTCCCAGCGGAAGCGCAGAGTGTCGTCTGCATCTGCTGGCTCTTGTATCTAAACGCCAAGTTGTATGCTATATTTATTTGTTCATGGGTTGATGAGACAATTCGTGTTTCCTTATACGGAACCTTTTCTGTGAATATTTTTTTATTCGCTTGTACTAAAAACGTTTTCTGCACGAAATGTGTTTCTGTCTGCATTTTTAACGGCCGTTCGGTTCCTCTCATTTCCATAAGCGTTCGTGTCCTTCACATTCATTTAGCAATAGTAGAATCATTGCTAGTCTCTCGAGTCTCGTATTTCTACGATATGTTCGCGGCATCGGGATGATTTTGCGTCGGGAGTCACTGGCGGCAGCGCGCTCGATAGCGGTCACCTCGAAGACGAAGGCCTGACGATAGCGTTTTGGCCGGCCGATACAGTTATCGACCGTAACTTTGGCGTCAAGCTAAAGCGTTTATGCTGATTCTCAAGAAAGAACTGCATAGAACTACCAAGCCAATGCCGATTCTCGGCGCCGTTTTTCCCAGGCACATTAGTGGGCGTCCAAGGCATGCGAGGGCCAATGTACTAAATCCCAGATTTCTGCAATGTATCGGAGTCGTCATTACGCATCTAAAAGCAACTGAAGGCGGGGACTATCAAGAGTGCAATACCTTTCCCGTGTAGGTAAGGAAGAATATCAACACTGTGCATCCCCACATAGCATCAAAAACAAACAATTTACGTCATCCAGTATTTCAACACTTACCACAGGGAGCCAAACCTACACGAGCAGGTGCCTAAAACACTTTCAGAATAACATAATCAATCAAATTCCTTATGATCTCGATTCCCCGTCCACCGCAGGTACGTTATTATCATAATTGGGAGGAACTGCAACGTCCATATCGACGTTTGTTAAACATCGCAGACATTTGAGCAAGAGCTGCGAAAAATGACACCGCGAGCAGTGACGGGCGAGGAGTGTCGTCTGCCATCGCCGTCTGCTCTTGTCGTCTGCTTCTGCACGGACGCTGAACTGACTCTAAAGCCGGTGCATGTTTTTTGAGGAACTGGGTCTGAACTCGTTCAGAACTGGGATGAATCGAACGCGCCAGTGCAGCGGCCGGGCAACTTCCGGTTGAATCGAATGCACCAGGTCCTGCACTGCTGAACTAGTTCAGCCAGTTCAGGCGAATCGAACAGACCTATTATTTTGTATTCTGCAAATGGCAAGGATATGTACTGTCTGTGGTGTTATTTTAGATGCGATACCTCAAACAATTTAGACGAAAAAAAATTACCAAGTTTGAGGCATAATTGCTTGTAGATACATGTTTGGACATTTTTTCGAAACTCATCTTGAATAACAATAATCACATCTTCAAGGGATACTTCAACGAAATTTGAAATATATCCGTCGTGTTCAAAAATAGGTTGAATATATGGTCCACAATATCCGTAAATGACAATCGCACGTTTGTATTTTGAGCCTGGTGGCTGTATTTTTTGTTATAAACGGCCCACTCTAGCAAGCGCTCGGAGAAGGCCCAGCTTAGTGCACGTGACATCCGACGCAATCGTGACGTAGGTCGTCTCGGGGCGAGCAAAGCTACAGCGAGGCTGACGTCGAGGGGGGGGAGGCACTCACTTGATCGAATGACGTTTTAGCGAACGCCCACGTTTCACCGAATGACACTTCAGCGAATAGTCGGACGCCGCGAAGCGGCGTTTTCGGGTGGGACAAATGGGTTCACATTTTTGTAATGAGCCGCCGCAGACTGTCGCCGCGAAGCGGCGTAAAGCGCAGCGCCACGGATGGGTTAACGCGCGCCCCCGTTATTCGCTAAAATGACCATTCGCTCAAATGTCGCTGTTCGCTAAAATGTCATTCGCTCATGTGATATGGACCCCGTCGAGGGGATGGCCTAGTCGTTCCAGCCACCGAAGCGGCTGCTTTTGCATGAATTTTGAGTGACGGGTTAATCTTCTATAATCTTGTAGGGGGACAATAGCTACTTCTGTAACACACAAAGGGGATTCTCGGGAAGACGGGAGTTCCTCCTTCCCCTCTTCTCTCATCGTGGCCGGAGGCGAGACACTCAGCATCACTAGCTGTCAAGGTTCCTAGACAGGCATTACAAACGAGGCGTTAGCGACATCCACCAGGTGCTCTTTGCTAATCATTTAATTTGTTTTAAAATTCTTTTTCATGACTTTTCTAACGAAATATTGGTGTGTTCGATGTGATACTGCTCCTTTGAACACATATAGACCATAAAATAAGTGCCGAAATTTCGTTGTAGTACCCCTTTAAGACAACACTTACCTAGGCTAGACATAGATCATTCCTAAAAAGTTTAACATCTCTACCATAAATAGCTTCAAATATGGCACAAGCGACAATCGTCAAATACCCGTCGTCCTTCCTCGCATCTTCAGGAATTTATTTCTTTAAAACTAAGCATGCCAGAACATTGAAATAAACAACATTGTCTTTCGCAAAAAAGTGCAACACCGCATGTAAAAATTAAAAAAAAAAAAAATTATGTACCTTACTGCTTGAATTCAAATGAACCCGTCCGCTGGTCTTTTGAAGTTCGTCGAACTTTTAACTTTTCAGGATCGAAAGTTCGAAAATTATTGAATATCTTAGAGTAAAGTTTGAACTTTTTAATGCAAGAAGTTCGAAAATCATCGGATATTTTAGTCTATCAAGTTCGACATGCATCAAATTTTGCAACGTAATAAGTTCGAAAGGATCGAAATTTTAGTGTAATAAGTTTGAAGTTCGAAAACCATTGCATTTCTGAACATGCAAAGTTCGAAATTTTGAAAAGCGTCAAACTTCTTAGTTTAACAAGTTCGAAAATTTGACTTCTGTCGAATTTTTTTATAGAGAAAGTTTGAAAATTCGAAACCTTTCGACCGCTTGATCATTGAAACTTCGGTTCAAAAAAAGTTTTGCAGTATCCACAGAAGTGTTGTTCAGATATTTGGCGGTACATGAACTATGCATTTTACACACAACTTACACAAAAATACTGTCATAGTGTCTCGGCCTCAAGTCAGACTAAGTAAAGCACTTCCAATAGTTTAACAAATTGATAGTCAGAATCGGTCAAAAAACAAATAGCATCTTGGCAAATCTGCAAATAGCATTCTGGAACTCTTCACCAAATGACAATATTAACACAAAGACAGCTGATCAGTCTTTGTGGCGCTTGAATCAATCACTGAACCACAGCATCAATCAAGTCATTGCTAAACCTCAGAAAATAGATTAGATAGGTCCAAAAGGCAGCATTTTATTTTCAACCCATTGTTACCATGTGCCCCCATATGTACGAAAAGGAAGGATCTCGCGCTTGTAGACTTCAGTGCTTTACACGTTAGGATGACACAATATAGTTTTAATCATAATCACAAACTGTAAAAAAAAAAAAGGGCAGTCGTATGTTTGTTGTGCACTATGCCAATGCAAGTGCAGCATCTTCAAAGGTGCAAAGGACGAAACGGACTTCTCATCGTTGCAGAAGTTGCGCACCAGATGAGGCAACCTTTTACAGTAAAAATCCTGCAACTCACACCAGTAGAAAAAAAAAAAAAAAAAAAAAATGAGGCACTATCAAGCGGCTCCAGTGCAGCATGAGACTTGGCTACTGCGGAACGGAGGCGCACAGCTGGGCATGCGGCAACGGCTTCGGCCACTCCGGCGCGCCAGCTGTGCACCGTGTGACGTCACTGCTTCTTGCGCATGCGCAGCACGGCTCTCCAGGAGCCACGTAAAACTGCTCAACCTCAGCCAGTGTAGCTTACGCTACGAAAGGTCCTAAATGTATGTAGGAGCATGTTGGTAAAAGTAAGCATCGACAGGAAACATTAAGCCAAAAAGATTTCCCATTTATTTTTTCTTTTGGTGCATGGAGTTCTCCTTCCGTCATTTTTTGTCTGCAATTTACATTTACTCACATATCTGCCATAAAAAAAAGGTCACTGTCAACACTGCATGCTGCCATTTTGGTAGTGTCAACTTTTGTATTTCAGTTTCTAGGCATTTCAAGGGCAGTGGTGCTGCATCAGCGGTTGCGATGCAACAATTTAAATCTGTTTTACTTCTGATCACCTATCATGTGCACCATATTCAAATGAATAAAACAGCTAAAAAATTTAAAAGGGGGCGCAGCAGCACCCTTTCTTTAATGATGCGCTGGGCAACCACCTAGGTTGCCCACCCTAGGCCCGACCCTGTTTGCAATTTCCATAGTGTCAGTTGTTACGCCAATGTGCAGGGTGTTAGCTCTCTATCGATCGGCACATGACTGCCGAGAGTCTGTATCATCAAGATTAGCGACTGTGTGTAAGGTATGCACAAAAGAGTGAATTGCCTCTTTTTCAAACAGGCACACACACTCATTTCTCTTCACAGCCAAACAACAAGACAGTCTATTGGTGTTCCCTATTCCTGAAGTTGTGACCTCCTGGCCTATTCAACCATCACATCGGTAACAAACCAGTAATCAATCACAATAGAGTCGAGTGGCAAGCCATTGCAAAGGCAAATACTTTACTTGGGGAATACAGGAGTCGGGACACTCTCATTTGCATTAGACAGGACGGCCGCGCTATAACCCATCTCTGGCAGTGTGCTTCATTTGGCGACACCTGTCCCCCACCCCCTCCTCTTGCTGCCAGAGCACATGAAGTCTACACCTCGGAATGTGGTGCGGTTTGACAGGGTCGCAGGTATGAAGATGGTGCCGACGTCACAAGTGTTTCTGCACGTCTTCAGTGGCGACTTTTTTTCGACTTTCTCCTTCCCCTCACTTGTAGCTAACCAGCCAGAGAAGCGAACAGTGTCAAAACTCAAATTTTCCTAAAACAAGTCACATGACTTGTCAAGTTCTACTTCGGGTCCTTACAACTCGTGCCCCTCACAGAACTCGCCATCAAACTCACCCCAACCTCACAGAACTGAAGATTGTGTACTCATGCCCCTCACTGAAACTCGAGAGTTCTCTGGGTTTACAAACTCGCCTACCTCATGTCTGAGGGTGAGGTGGCACTCACGAGCAAGAATACTGAAATAGGCTATTCTTCGATGTAAGCAGCACTCATTTTAGTAAATTTTGCTTGCCTTCTTGACCCACCACTATTAAAGTTTAACTATACTCAGCTAGTTTTGATATAGTGCCAAAGTTCAAAATAAATGCAGTCTTACGACAGTTTTCTCAAACCAAAAGTGTGAAAAGTTTATTCGCACATCAAGACAGATACAAATAATAACCAATGTGAAACAAACGGGTGATGGATGTAGAAATGCAAAAAGAACAAGCACATCCTCAAGACACCAAAACATATCTGGGAAATTCTTTTCCTTGTGCTACTTACTTCGAAAATGTCCTGGTGCAACCCCAGAATGACCGTCAAAAAAGAACCAAAGACCTCAGAAACGTGAGTTATAGTCAAAAGGCCTGCCCAAAAGGCTGGACGATGGCCCAAGCAAGCCCTCTGACCTTCCTCTGTCCGAAAGGAGAGGTCTGTTAAACTCTGCAGCGGGATATTCGTCGTACCCACCACGGTTGCTGAAGCCCAGCTCGGAAGAGCCATACTCATAACCGGACTGGTCATGAGGACGTCTTTCCCCGTAGGTATCGATGGTCATGCTTTGAGCCGATCCTGACATCTTCTTGAGTCGATCAAGCACACTGGGTCCCTCAAAAGCCTGAGCCGACGACGGCAACAACGTGCGCCTCGGTGCAGCTGTAGGAGGTTCTAAAACGTCTTTATACGGAGCCCCTTCGTGTGGCTCTTGGTAATCGTGACCGTACATGTTCCCAGAGTTGAAATCGTGCCCAGTGTGGCTCTGATCCATTGCATCCCCATACGAGTAATCGTGTGAACGATCAAACTCCATTGGGCGTTCGAGCGGAGTATCCATCGACAGGTGTTCTTGCTGAGAGGTTTGCTGAGCTTGACGGTTCAACTGCTGCCCAATCTCTTGAGCAAGGTCTGGACGTGTCAGCTGGCGCGAGAGCTTGCTGATCTCGACTGCAAGATCGTACTGGAGCTTCGAAAATTGATCTGATGGAGTGGGCCCAAAGCCTAATCCTCCCAACAGAGGTTTCTGCTGAGGTCTTGCGTTTGTCTGAAACTGCTGGACCCCCGGCGTGGGGAAGACTGGCTGATTAGAAGGGGGAGGTCGTACCGAGCCATTGTTGTACTGCGGCTGTTGCTGCGGTCGAGTGTTTGGCTTGGTCCACGGCTGCTGCTGTGGCGCTCCGAAGCGGTTGCCTCCACTGTTGAAGGGTGTTGGCTTGCTGCTGTTGCTGGTGCTCCAAGGCTTTGCAGTGGAGTAGACGTTGGGAGCACGGGGCCGGATGTTGGGGGGGCCGCCGGGTGTGTTTGGCCCTCCGATCAGGGGTTTCTTGGGGGCAATGCTAACAGATCCACCCTGAACAGAAAGTGCAGAGGAACAGTTCAAAATTTTGTTATACAAAGTTTGCCCCTTTCTGTGATGCTTATTGTTAAAGCGACTGCTGCGTTAAAGTCAACTTTGCAAGAGCATGAATGAAAAATAACGCAAGAAAATAAAGCAGTGATGGAAGAGGTGTTTGACTTTCCGTAGCAGGTTCTGTAGCAGGCAAAAACATTGCTTTGGAGCAGTCACTGATCCTTTCAGATCAGATGCCAACATCGGTTTGCATATAATTTGAAAATGGAAAAGTGATTGCATCACTAAATGAGTTCCTCCTTGATGACGACTGAGGATTCCTCTGATACTGGAGCACATTACTTATCCCCTTTTGTAATAATAATAGATGGGGTGCCAAAAAAACACAGAACATTCTTTTTTTTTTTTTTAGCAATAAGGTTTTAGTCAGAGGAAGCTCTATTTACAATGGGTACTAAAAAAATTGATAAAAAATGAATCATAGCGCAACACTTCAGTTGGGACAAAGCTTCTCTCCCCTCACACTATTACAGCCGGTAGTTTATTTAGCCTGTATACAGTCAAATCTGTTTATAACGATCTACATCAGACACGCATTTTAGTTTGATGTATCCCGTAATTCACTATATCAAACCCGGGCCTACGGCAGATTTTGAGGCCGGGGCTTCATAACGAACAGCGATTTTCTTGACACTACAGCAAACACACGTTAATGCATTCTTCAGCGGACCGCGATAACACAACCGATAACACTCTAGGCGGGCTAACGGCTGGAACAAATTGTAGCTTTCGAACTCTTTATACTGCGAGGACGTTTACAAAATCTGAGCACCCTGGCGTGCACGAAAAGAAAAATCTTTTACTATTCTAGTTGACTGCGAAGACTTTTCGTCCAGTATGGCAATTGTGTCCTTGAAAGAAACAAGATTTTGCTTCCGTGAATCCAGAGTCCAAACAAAACCAGCGGAACTGTACAGAGATAAAAGAAAATTGCGGTGGCTTAGCTCGGCTATGCCAGGATATATGTAGCGTGAGCTGATGCACGCAAAATGAGAGGCGCTATAGAGCAGCTCCGGTGCAGCGTCAGACTTAGCTACTGCGCAACGGAGGCGCACAGCTGGGCACGCAGTGGCACCAGTGCATCTGCTGCAGCTCTGGAATGTGCAGACCGGTGAGGCAGGCGTGGCGGCGGCGGCTCCGGCGCGCCGTGTGACGTCACTGCTCCTCGCACATGCGCAGCACGGAGCACGGCTCATTATGCGAGTCACGCGAAACTGCTCAACCTCAGCCAGTGTGGCTCACGCTACAAAAAAGCTGTGCAGAGCAGCCGAGGCGCAGCGAGAATGGCTGGCTGCAGGCGAACGCCGCCTCCTATCCAGTTGCGAATGCCTCATGATCGCAGACAGAAGTTCAATGATCACTAAAATCTGTACTTTGCACCAAGGAATCATTTCCAGCTTGTCAAAGAATGATAAAGACGGTTGCAATTTTTTGTGCGAACCGGATTAAAAATTTAGAGTAGAGACTGCTCCTAGCAGCGTGTCCTAACCTTGACTTTTTGTGTATGTGCGTGTTTTCTGCGCTCTCTGCGGTTACTCTTTTTGTTTGAAGTTTAGGAAGCTTTAACTTGTTGTTTTTAATGTTTATTAATGCTATATTCTTAAATTTAATTGTTAAGACTAAGCTCTTTGCCGATGACTGTATTTCGAACACAGAGGCTAAGGAGCCCACTGATCAAATTAATCTTAACGTACATGTTTAGCACACATTGGTCAGTGGTGCAATACATGGCAAATGTCACTAAACTTAGAGAAAACCGTCTGTATGACTATTACTTTCAAAACAAAGCCCATTCAACTTGCCTATGTTATTGAAAGGTATCCACTGGCAAGGGTAAGCAGTTACAAATATCTGGAAGTAACTATTTCTCACGATCTCCGTTGGAGTGCTCATATTGATAGCATTGTAATAAAAGCAAATTACAAACTGTACTATTTAAGGCGATCTACGTTCAATTAACACAAAACTTTTGGCTATAAAACACTGATTCGTCCGTTGATAGAATATGCGTATGAAATCTGGGATCCTCATTTTGTTAAAGATGTGCTAAAGCTAGAAAAGGTGCAACGACTTGCTTTGCATTTTATTTTATTTAAATATCGTCGACCGGATTCACCTACAGCACTGTATTCAAAAGCCAACATTCCATTACTTAAGATGAGGCACAAAGAAAAAAGTCTGAAATTTCTATATATGATTATCAATGACTCACTTCAGATAGACAAAACAGCTTACCTAGTTCCTGACGAATCAAGAATAACTCGGAACAAACACAGTCGCGCACTTCATCAGCCCCAGTTCTTCAAGGACTGTTTCAGATACTCGTTCTCTCCACAAACCATAAGTGATTAGAATCTTCTTTGGGAGCAAGCTGTGGTATGCCAATCACTTGAAGCTTTTTCCTCTCATACTGCATCTTGCAAAATAAAATGTTTTTTGTTTTGTGTATTTTTTTTTTTTTTATTTACACATTCTAGCCCATGATGGATCTCAATTTTATTTGTTATTAGCCCCGTGCGCGACCAAAAGCGTCGCTGTGGTCGGCCTTCCACGATTGGCCGAAAAGCTGACTATGACGTCTGAAAGGGTATGCCATCGACGGAAATAAGAAGAATGAAAGAACTTTAATTTCGACGGTGTTGGCAGTGTTGCTTTGAGAGCGCAATGATTTCAGGCTTCCACCATGCTATTTACAAACACCATCGAACTTGTTGTTCGCAAGGTAATGACGTCACAAGGGGGAACCATAGGAGGGCGCCACCAAAACATCTCGCCGCTAATAGACCCTATGCAAAATTCTTTGTAGCTATTATCATCATCATACTCGGGAAAGACGCGCCGCCATGTTGAGGTGTTCTTGTCATCTTGTGCCGTGCTCTTTACTGCGTGGTCTAGCTCTTTTCTAGTAAACTCTTCATAGTTATTAGTTCTTGCAATGGCATCGGAGTGGACTCTAGACCTTTCCAAGCTGCTAGAGCTCCTGGGATGGGTTTGTGGATTCGTACTACGAGTCGAAAACGACCTCCAACAGGCACAAGCTTCGGAGCGGTACCGGTGGCTCCCTAGTTTTTTGATCCTCGATACCGTTCCGGGCACGCGTTGAGAGTCTATCGAAGAGGTAGCGCGAAGCACCAGCCTTTATGTTGCAGCTGCCAAAACGAGATTTTATGCATGCACTCCCACCTTCGATATTCTTGCTTTCAGTGTAAGCGCACTGACATTCTTGGTGCAGTGGCTGCGCGTGCACGAGAGACATACTTGTACGGGTGCAGTCATTCTGCTGTGAGAAGCAACTCGCAAGAGAGGTGTTCGACAAACCGCAGAACAGCTCTAAACGGTTATAACAAATCACGATGGCCGGATGGCCGTTCACTATAACAAAATTATGCGCGTATGAAGCTCACTTTGTTTCCGAAGGAATCTTTGTAGCCACTCTGCGTGCATCGTGGAACACAGCAGTACTGGGGCATACTTCTGGAGCTTGCACCTTCCACATCAACAACGTAGGTGACGCAGCCAATGCGGCTAGGGCACTAGGACGCAACCTCGGGCACTCGGGAGAGTATGGACAGTACGGCGGAGCACCCCCAACATGGTGGACATATGAAGTTCGCACACGGTAAACCAGATGGCGCTATTCATTCTCGCATATGGCCTAAGCATTTTTTGTGATTATTTATTGATATCTTTTATAGTACCCTTTCAAGGTAATATAAAAGGTACTACATTTTTGGATGTGGTAAACACACCAGACAACACACCAGCCACCATAATACAGAAAAACACACCAGGCACCATAATAAAACTACACCAGACCATACACTTTTTGCAGTGGAACCTATAGACGCTTTGCAGACGTGCCAGATTGCAGCCGCCATGGCTGACCTACTCTAGTCTGACTGAGATGCTGAGCCACTGAAGCGGGCCTTGACAAGCCTCCACAAAGGCTTATGCTAGGAACAAGGACGAAGTATAATCTAAAAATGGCAATAACTAGGACTACTGTGGTAATGATAAAGTGAAGTAAACAGAGTAAGAGAAAACAACTAAAGGTCGGTTATGGCAGTGCCCATGCACAGCTGCTGCAAAGCGTCTATACAGGAGCCACTGCTCTATGGGTTCCGTTTCTAAAAGCATAGAAATAGAAACAGGAAGATTCCTCAAATGCTAATCAACACTTACAGAAGCCAACGTCTCTAAATTCTGGAAATGCTTCTTGCTTGTCATGTGCTGCGAAAGGTGAAAGATAAGAAAGATATATGACGTGTGGATCAGTTGTCCCAAGACCAAGCACAACTTCCAAATTAGCAGAACAGCGGAAGTAGGGGCCTAAAGCCATTGGAGGCTATGAAGACAACATTCTTAACCTTAGATTCAATCCCTGGCTACTCAACAATTTTCAATTATTTGGCTGCGGCCCAATATTCGCTAAAAATGACTAACATTCAGGAAAATCCATTTCTTAGCTAAACTTGAGCAGTCTGTATATTTATTTCACTTCTTTCGATGTTCACCTAGCCTCGTTCCCATCACGTCAGACTGCACTGAAAATGTTTAAAATATCACCATATCGCCGAATTCTGACGAAAACATGCGGTGCCAGACACAGTGCAGCTGGCAGGGACCATACTTTCGTTTGTGGGCACACCTTTACATTTCTATAATCTGTTGCAGGTTAAAAAAAGCGGGACAAGTCCCCCGACCTGACTGGTGGTTTTCTCCTCTCCACTCCTCCTCTGCAGCGTTTGCTCTGCTCAAGTGGAGAGAGTGGAGGGCTTTGTGGGTGGAGCATGTCGAGCTTCTCTTAATAACCTGCAACGGACTATATAGACATTGTCGAGGAAAGAACTCATTTCTCTGCAAGTCCCCGGTGCCTACCTGGTCGTACTGCATCTTGGAGTTCATGGTCTGCTGACACGGCTGGCAAGAGAACGTCCCCTTGGGTGCCGGCATCCGCTGCTGGGCCATGCCGCCTCTAGGCCTTGGTCCAAAACCTATGGGGCCAAATGAAAGTTGCAAGCTTCAAAACGCTTGAAGCAAGGATACTGTACATATGAAACAAATTTGCCCCTATCCCTTGCTACTGTGGCAAAGGCAATGATAACATAGAATGTATTGTCCATTGCCTCGTGGTGATGCTGGCAGGAACTTGCTACAGACTTTATGCGTCTATGATGCAAACGTCAATGTGCTAGTCACTGAAAGGAAGCCCTGCCAAAGGTAGTGCTCCTGCGGGAATGGAACGCCAAGGACCATGCGGTAATGGTTGCACATGCTGCACGTGCTGTTGTCTGTTGCTGTAACCGTTTTAAAGTAAATGGTACTTTGCATGTGCTATATTTTGGTTGTTTACTTCTAATGGCAATTTGCATGTGCCTTTTCTTGGTCATTTACTTATCGTTTATACAAACAAGATGAGCGTGAGCAGCGTGCGCATACCTACGTTTCGAGCATTCTCCTTGCTGCTTCGGCAATTTGGCAAAAACATTGGCACACTGCATATGAATCACGGACGTGCCGGTGACCCGAGGTCGTATCACTTGGGCAGTGTTCCAAATTTACTTTGTCTCACTCCAGAGCAAAGGTTTCGCATTTTGGCATTTGAAAGGTTACTCGCGTTCAGCACTGTTCTATCTGTGTTATCAGATGATATCAGCTGCGGGAGTAACTCGAACCCGCTCGACTGAGATTTGGAAGACGGCCAATATAATGTAGCCGAACGCTGCTTTGTGAATGCACCTTAACAAGGCGCTGGGTTCTTTTTTAGCTCACCTAACAGAGGCCAGCATGGGGCAGAGATTGGACACCAATGTAGCATCAGCATTTGGCTGGGACCCGTATTTAGTGAGCACACGAGTTCCATCCAACGTTGACGCAACACTCATGTGGTAGTCCTTTGCTTCAGGAGTGTGAAACTAGAAGCTGTGAGGTGCCAGCCATACAACATATTTCGTGTTAAGTGCATTGCAGCAGACTTATTTGATGTGCCCAAGACGAAACCCTTGCCAAAGGTTTGAATGACAAGTCGACAAACAGTTCTGCCCAAAAGTTGTTACGAAATCCAACCTTGGTTCTGCTTTCCCTGAAATGGCTGATTCTGATGAGCGCCCCAATTCGGCTGTGGCTGGCGAAATGGCAGCTGAGGCCGGTTCTGCTGAAACTGTGACCTCGGCTGAAATTGTGGTTTCGGCTGAAATTGTGGCTTCGACTGAAATTGAGGCCTCGGCTGAAACTGTGCTCTCGGCTGGAATTGTGGCTTCTGCTGAGACTGTGGTCCCTGCTGAGCCGCTGGCTGGCCTGAAGTCAGTCGTTCCTTGTGAGCTCGACCGTTCATGTGCTGCATTTAAAAAGAAACATAACTGAAACTAGCAGCACGATGCAAACAGAAGTTAGATCGGGAAAGATACAATATTAAACATCGACAATCAAGAGACTCTTTTCACAAGATTATTAAAAAGGTCCCAAAAGGTGCACAGTGAAGCATTTTTAGTATTTCTAGAATACAGCACAATTCGAAATAAGATGGTTAGAAACTGCTTTTCTAACCAGGCAGAAAATAATCTTGCATCTAGGACTTTGCGATTTGGAAGTTCTATTTGACGACTGAAATGAGTGCCAGGCACGGCTCGGACGCTGTTGACCAAGTTCTAGTCCGGACAGACGTCTGGGTGCCACACAAATCAATTAAACAGGTATGGTAACAATTGCGCTGGGAACAATGCCTGAAACCCCCCCGAGACGGCGGCAGAAACGTGAACTAAATAACTGCGCGATGTGGAAGCAGGACGACGACGGGCTCCTCGTCAGGCAAGTGGTTCAAACGAATGACGTGCTCTTGGCGCTGTGCCGGCGCTGGCGAGTCTGGTGCAGAGTTGTACATTGGTTGGGCGCAGATCCGGGAAAGCCTCCCGCTCCGAGGCGGCAACCGAGGTGTCGTTGACAAGCCTGGGGTGCCCTTGTTAAGCGCCAATCAAGATTTTCACATCCTGAGAAGCATCTACCGTTGTGTTGACGTGGGGAACCTGAAGAGGAGTAACTTGCCTGCGAGCGCGGCGTTGTCCATTTTTTCTAGACCACAGACTGCCGTGCAATATAGCCAACCGCGGGAACTGTACCGGGACTCCGCCAAATCCTACTGACACTGACGGTGCTCCTCAACGTCACGTCCCAATGTTTGTTTCAATTTAGAAAACTTATTTGCGGGCGCGAAAATAACAGTCACGGAGCTCTAAAAAAAATTGACCTCAATGCGTCCAAAAATTTAATGCGTCCGAAAACACCTTTTAAAAATTTTTGAAATTGCCTTCATGGTCTCGTTAATGAAAGTTCACAGAAATCAATTTCAAACTTTCTCATCTATGGATAATACGAAAAATATAAAAAAACACACATGACCTTGGTCATAAGTAACTATTTCGTCTAAAAAAATCTTTAGGTATTAGAGTAGAAAGTATGTTTTATATGATGCTCCTCTTTACTACACATGCAGGACATTTGCAATTTCAAGTTTTTTTTCCTTTAATGAGCTACAAATAACAAGTACATTATCCAGCCCCCAAATGCACCCTCTGTTTCCGTCACGAGATTTTTTTCTGTCACTTGTTTTGCTAAAAAAAAAAAAAAAAAACAGGTTCCAAATTGTTTTTTTAAAACGCGAACCATCTCCTGAGAGGTTCCCATTTTAGGGAAGAAGGGAAGTACCTCATCTCTCTGGAACTCCGAGTTGAGAGTGGCATTGCACAGCTTGCAGTAGAAGGACTTCTTGAGGACCGGAGGACCGCCTGGAGTCCCAGGTGCTGTCGCGGCTCCTGCAAGCATTCAGCCCCAATTTCAAGGGAGGCACGCACGGCGCACGCCTCCAGCCGGGACTCGCAACGGAGTCCTCCAAAAGGGGAAAGCTATAGATAATTTACACAACTTCGGCTCACCATTTTCTCGAGCACTTCCGCCCACTTTTACTTATTGCGCACCCGGAAGGACAACATTACGACGCAAAGGAGGACGATGAAAATTTCAGAATAGGCACACGCTCTTAGACACATAAAAGCTGTAGAATCGCCACATGAAGATTGGTTTTGATCAATGCTTTCTAAAGAATGAGGCTTTACTAGAGATTCTTGCAGAAAAATGCAGGTTGTTTCTAGTAACTGACAGAATGAGAACTGCCGGGAAGTCCTTTAGTTAGCGAGCTTCCTATCTTAGACAATGCTTCAGCGTCTGTGAGCATTAATCGTGCATGCATAGTAAAAGAACGGCCAAGAGCAACGGGTGCATGCTGGAGTCCGGGAGTTTGAAAGAGACGCCATGCACCTCTCATCCTGTCGGTGACTATAGCCATGTGCTGTGGCAGCAGAAGGAAAGACTCACCACCTGGACCCATGTTCGGCTTCTTGAAAGGTCCTGGGCCTCCGTCCAGAAGTAGGGGACGCTTGGCTCCCTTGGGAACACCCTAAAGAAAACCATGTTTGCCCAAGTCAGCCGCCTCCTTTAAACGCTTCCACACACTACTCCGCCTTACTCTGAAGCCACTGAGAGCAAAACTAAAAAGGGCGCCACCCTTCCAAACTGCACTACCTGAGACTATGCTGCAAATTCCTCCGACTTCGCACTACCACGCACAAAAGAGAACGCTCTTCTACAAATGTCTTCGCTTTGTACAATTTCTTTTTTTTTTTTTAAATTGAAAAAATTGCATCAAACTTCCAAAGAATGCTGATACAATACAAAAGATTTGATATGAACATTCCAACAGAACCGTAAGCCTGGAGCTGTTCCCATAATAAAATATCTCTCAACTATGCACGCAAGAGCCTCTAAGAAATGGAAAGACTGATGCTCTTTGCAATAAAGGAACACACCAGAGGCACCTAAAGCGTAACCTGGAAGCTCAAACGAAGTGTATTTCGGAAGAATCTTTTAACCACCTAAAGTAACTCTGACACACGCCCCAGCAGTATGCATTTACTGCTACTAAGAGGACAGGGCATGCCACGAGGATTAGAGCAGGGATGGAACTGAGCAAAGCAGCTTTGGAGCAATCTCAGGAACAGAAAAAACTACAATGGACCTTTTGTAGAAACATCGGTTCGAGAGTAAATAGTTCCAGTACTCCCTCTCTCTTCCTTCTGGCCGAGCAGAGAGGGAAGATGGTTTCTTTGTGTCGACTTCGGGGCAGAAGATTACGCACGATGGGGACAAAGGAGAGTTTGGGGGAACCGTATCTAGGTCACAGCGCCTCAATGGGTTAACGGGATGTAGCTGACGTTTAGTGTGTGGAACGGGTGGGAGAGGCCTTGGGCGCGCGTTGTTTTCTCGCCACTTAGTCTCGAATCGAATCGCGTGTCTAGGTGGCAGCACATATTCGCCAAGAGGTCCATTTGGAGCAGGCTGGGAGCAGCAAAAACTAGGTCTTAAAGTGAATTGGGAGCACCGTATAAATTTTAAGAATGTTAAAATAGAGGCGAAGTGTAACCTGGTTTTCAAAGCTCAAGAAAATATGGCATGCAGATAACTCGATGTGAACTTAACAATAGTTCTAATTAACATTTTATTTGAAACTTTCTTCCCGAAATTACACGAAAATTACACAGAGCATATAAAGCAAAACTGCATGGCAGTTTTGCTTCTGCTCGCTCGCCTTTGTTATGTTCCCAAGTTTTCTGCACGGGGCCTCGGGCGGCCAACGTGGGCTGTAGGCTTTTATATTAGAGCGCGTTCATAGCTGTGTTTGTGTGTTATGCATGTGCTGTCTCTCGCTGGCCGCAACTGCGAGCGAGCGTTGGCTGGACTGTGATTTTGCACGTGTGGACCGTGATTTTTGTAAATGGTGGAAATGTCTATAGTCACACACGAACAGCCAAGAGGGAGGCACGCCAACTTAAATATATTTGAGTTTATCGCAATATGGTGGCGCCGTTTGCTCCACCATTCAGATGAAGTGACTCCAGGACTCCACAAAAGCACACAGCAACGGCAGCTATACTTAGTTTCAGCTTACGTCCAGACGCAGCTGATGCTACAAGTGCCAGCATGTGGCCTTGAACAGTGCTTGCACTGCACGAGCGCACATTCTTGGTAGGGATACTGAAAGTCCGGTGCTCGCACTTGTAGCATCATCTGCATATGCACTTAAGACGAAGCAGAGCGACAGCGAATGGCTTCCGAGAGGCCTGGTAGCAGAAGCATTGCAATGAGGGATGTTGTAACAAGTGTTTTAAGCTGAAACAAAGTGTAACCATGGCAGCAACCTTAATATAGAGCTTCGGATTTGGTATCACCAGCATTCCTTTGTTCCAATGTCCAAAGTTCCAATGTCAATGTTGCCAACAGAAACTGCGAGAAGGATAATTTTGACAAGGCTCGTTTATAATTTCAGTTTGGGCGCACCTTGGCGCAATTTCAATCTTATTTATACTTTTGTATCAATGTGGTGCATGAAAAGTCATTAGGGGCACAATGGTGCAACTGGCACAGCAGTTCCATCCCTGTTAAAAATATAAATTTACTGCTTGAACCTACAATAATGTAACAACAGAAAATGTAACTTCAATTAGAAAAACAAAAAAATATATAGAAAAAAGATGACACCTTGTTTTATCAGAGATAGTTCTTCATCTATCCTATTATTATTTCCAACTGAAGTTATCATTTAAGAACTTAGTAATCAACTTAAAACATGCAAGTATAAATATTAATAATAAAAAAAAGCAGCACGAAAAGTCAGCATCAAACATCCTTACATTAAGTTAGATCAGTGGCAGGCAAACTTTGAGATGTTGTGAGCAGTATGAGACTTTGTAAATGTATAAAGGTCTGCAAGTATTTTTTTTTTTAGACAAGTTAGCCACAGTTTTAATGGGACAGCTAAGCTGTTTCGCTTGATATGAGCCCAAGCGACGGCAGATTGAGTCTGCTTGTCGCAATAACCATAGCGTCAGGTTAAAATGACAATCCAGTGACTTCACAATATATGCGGGAACATGTTTGCAAAGAGCTCATGTTCAAGCAGCTATCAAAGTTCCATTTTAGTTTTGGGCAGTTGCAGTTGTTCTTTCTTATAAAAGCTGCCTGTAGACATGCAGCTTTCATCAACCAGAACAACTTTTAAAGGCTACTGTTCTACCTGATGACAGATAGAAGAGCAGACTTTTCAGGAAATACCTTAGGTGTGACTAAGGTAGTATTCTGTGCATGCCTGAGGTCCAACCTGGCATCACAAGCATCTCCAATTGATCTGTGAGCGTAAAAACCTTTAAATGCGACAGAATTGCATGCCTCAATAGGTTATCAGCCTGAGGCTCTCTTTCTGCAATGCAGTTGGAGAACTGTCCCCAAGGGACTGCTGTCAATGCTGCGAAGTTGTGACAGAAAGTCTGGAAGATGCAAGATGCATCTTCCAAATTGTGCTGGTATCAAATCAATGGAACAAAGGCAAACTGTTCCAGCACCCACTGAAGCATAGTTCTTCTGGGAAAGACACATGCTTTGCATAGCCAAGGATCAGTCAGAGTTCCATTGATGACAAAAAAATGTTTTACTTGGGTCGGTGAAGACTAGAGTTCAAGTTCTGAACTCTAGAATGTGTTGCAGAGCTGAAGTAGAATAGACTTGTCTCTGCTTTTTCTTCAAATGCCAAGAAATTTAGTTGGCAGGTGAATAGAAGCATGCAATTCTGTCCTTGATCAAACAAGGGTTCAACCTACCTACGCAATGTTTTTAAGTGAGGTAAAACTGAAGCTTCTGCCATTTTGAAAGAAAACTTCTAAAAGACAAACCTTGTTCGCCAAAGAAACTTACGCATCTTCAAAGCTATGTTAAAAAAGATGTCCAGGGTGTGGCATTTCCTGTTTCGTGCAAATCAACGAACTGCAGGGGTGACACAGTAGTAAATGACATTTGACTTCAAAACTAAAAAAAAATGCATCAGACTTCCACAGAATGCAGATACAATGGATAGGATTAGATCTGAACATTCCAACAGAACCATAAGCCTAATGCGGTTCCCAAAAAAAAACAAAAAAAACAAGGAACAGTTTAAGAAAATTCTTGAAAACTCTTCAGTACTTCACTTGGGTCGTCATTTGACTCCAGCAGACTAAAGAGGCAAACAAAAGCTTTCAACTGTTCCACCTCCTGTACCTTTGATGATGCTCTGATGCCATGCGAGCATTGATCATGCATGTACAGTGCAATTCACTTATAACAATACCACATATTACGATGTACTTCTTATAACTATCAGTTTCTAGTTTCTAGACTAGAAACAATCAGTTTCTAGTCCAGATACAGCGGTAATCAATTATGACGATTGCAGATTTTCTCATTATTGTTATAAGTGGATTGCACTGAACAGCTGATGCACCATCAAAGGCAGCCAACTAGCACCGAGGAATGGAGCACGAGACATGCCTTATCATTTCTAGCCTGTTGGCGACCCTGGAGGTTCATAATCAACTTTTCAGAGCACATAAGAGTTGAGTAGCTTCGACCTGAAGAAACTCAACTCCGTTGCAGGGGTTGAGCATGACAGAGCATGATGTACCATTTTTCTGCTCATGTGGAAGTGGTTTCAGTTATGTTCGCTAGAAAATCAAATGATATTACATCAATTAAAAACAATCTTACACCAATAAATGACTCAAATATATTCAGTGCAATTAAACTTATTCTTGGAGTCATAAAAAAAAAAAGCTTACTTACTGCATTAGGGCACGTAATTGGGAGAAGAGATCCAAAAATTCAACCCCAACTTACAGGAAAAACTTCAATTTCCATCCACCCTGACCGTTTCAATTGTTCATGGCATAAAAAAAAAAAAAAGCCACTGAACTTGTGGTTTGTGCCTTTTTCCCCTTTACAATGCACCCAAAGTTTTTATTTATTTTTTTTTTCAGAAAAATTGAAAAACAACTTAAAAATTGTGCCTGCATTAAGACGAAACTATTTGCCTTTATTTTGCTCCAAATAAGTCACAAACATATGACCCAGCATGATACATGAAATTACTAATTTCATACATCATGCTAGTTTATATGTTTCTGATTATTTTGGGCAACAATCACAGTGAGTGGAAGGAGTAACAAACCAGCATATATTGCATAAACCGGTGAAAAAGATAACCAAGTGACGAAAAAGAAATGGGAGCTTTGTACCAACAGCACTGGGGTAAAATAGACCGTTCCCATAAATTGGATTGTTCCTAATAGCAGGGCACCAGTCCCTGAAGCGTTGAGAAAACTGAAAGCATTGTGAGAAAATGCTAGTGTGCATCGGGCCACTAACAGGCCATTTAACTACTTTGCCGAATGACGTCAATTGAACCTACATGATGGTTATGCTCTCTGCAGATATTAAGTCTGTAGAATTTATTCTTGGCCTTCCAGACACTAACTCACCCCATCTCTCTCTCTCCCCCCCCCCCCCCCCCCCCCCCAAAAAAAAAAAAGAAGACGACAAAGATATTCTGAGCAAAGAAGTTTAGATACCACCAAAAGTTTTTTTGGCTGTAATAACTTAAATAATATAAAAAAAAAAGAAAAAGGGGTAAGCTAAAACTGTAGTGTAACAGTGCAGAGAAATGATGTGTCAAAGACCGGAGTATCAAACCTCCCGAGTTCCGCACCTCCATTGCACGAGTGAGAGAAGCATGCGGCGGCTTCCCCCACTTCATTGATTTGGAAATATTGATTCTCACCTGGTAGGCCTCAATAAGTCGTGTTTCTGTAGAGACACAGGCGTGCACAAATGCCTCGACGGTGTCCCTTTTAAAGGCACCGAAGAATGACCAAAAAATTGTAGATAGCAGAAAGTAACAATAAGGCACGATGGGCACCACCACAACACCAGCTCTGAGAGAGCAGTTTCCAGGTGTTTTTCGCCTCAAGAAAAATGGAGGTGCCATTCACCCTCTATCGGTGTGAGTAAAAGGCTCCTTAGTCGTGAGAGGTTAAGATCCCGTTAGATGCACTGGCTTCAGGTTCTTATGGGTTCTTAACCTGTCAATGACTAAAGAGAGAAGGGTGAGCGTGGCTGTGACATAACAAGCTGCTGCCCATACTCCCGCAATGCCCGAGTCCCACTAGAGCAACAAACGGAAACAGCCGATTCCGAAGGGGCTCCAACGAGCGAATCATACAAGCGAGGGTATCTTTGGCAGGCTTTCAATCGTTCGTGCTTACTTCACGAGCACCGAAAGACTGCAAGCCTGCCAAACATACCTTCATGCGCATGCTGCATGCGTTCGAGGTTATTCAATCATTTCCGTTCGTTGGTCTGGCGGGACTCTGGCATAAGAAGCAGAGAAGCTCGCTGCATCGACCTGTCTAAGGGGCTCCCGACTCGCTCCCCACAAGAAAATCCCGTGCGGTGGCTCCGACGCATCGGGCTCTTTCTTGCAATGCGTGCTTGCTCGCAACGCTTCAGGAAGGCGTCCGAGCTTTCTGGGAACGGCCTACCCCTCCGTGCACACGACGTGCGTCGGGAGTGGAAGACTCCCTCCTTGGACTTGCGGTCGGCCTAAGCGGAGACGGGGAAAACCGGAATGCAGTTCTCCTTGCGTGCCGCGTCATTTACCTGGTCAAAGTTCCCAGACTTTGGTGCTGCAGGCGGTCTCATGGGTGGGCCGGAGGGTGGCATTCCATCTGTTGACCAGACGGCTTTTCTGCTGTACTGTGTTTGCCGTGATGCGAATAAAGAGCAACGAGCCTCAAAGCTTCCCAGAGTCGGCGAGTGGTGAGAAAAAAATGAATTTCTCTCGGCCTCACTCGTCTCAGAAGCTCTGTCCGAGGCAAATGCCACCGAGTCGAAATGACCTTCGTCGGCTGGGTTGTGTTACTACTTCTGGGTGTTATGCTTGAAGCTGGATTCAGTCGATTATTACGTTTTTATGAAGATCGATGGGAATGTATGCAGGATACTCTGAAAGCTTAATTAAACCAACATTTTCTGGTAGCATGAAATTCCCAACCCCATATGTTTCCACATTTTTTTCTGCCTTTACTATTGGCTGTAGCAGAGTCCTTTGACACGCTACTGGTCGCGAAACTTCTCCGTAACGCAATGGTAGAGCTTGGTAAATGACCAAACATAGCGCCATCATCGACGAGGGGGTCGAGAGTCGCCAATCTAGCCAGCGCCGCTGGGACTTTGGCAACCAGAATGTGGGATTGGAATGAGTCACCACTAGACTGCAGTGATGTGTCACCACATAGACAGTGTTTCTCTTCAACCTAGGTGTTTACGGCTCTGTACACTCACTCAACTGATCAAACTTTCTTTTCTGCAACAACCTCTAAAATAACAATGCCCATGATTCCTTCCTCTTGCGAAAAAATCAATTCTCACTACCGCTATCACCATAAAAATTCAACACCATGAGTAGTGCTATCAGATAGAAGCATTGTGAACCTGTACGTTCAATTGCCAGACTCTTTTTCTACTTGCAAAACAATGTTTTCTTTGACAAAAAAATTTAAAAAAAAAAGCAAGTTTATTTTTAAGTTTTGTTGTTAGAAATCAAAGAACAATGACCAGTGCTTGCATAAGATGATCAATTACGAGCTTAACAAAAAATCAAAATCCGAAAAAAAAAAAATTTTTTTTTTCAGGAGTTATTTGTTTTTGGGAGTTTGAGGTGGTTTGCCAATAGTGGGGTGGCCAAATGAAAATATCCCCTTTGGAACAGTGGTGCCTCTAGTTAGGAAACTTGGCCAAACCTTGGCCAAGTTTCCCAACCAGTAGCGTGTCGAAAGACTCTGGCCGTAGCGAGAGATTATCGCTAAACAAAGAATTCAGAGGGATGAGCACAACCCTCTAAACTCTGACAGTATGACGCCTCCTGTGAGAGATGAAAAGGGTGAATTACAAGTGACTAATGTAACAGCAAGTGACATTTGTCACCCGTACTCCACCTCCAAAGTGTAGCACGGTGCAGGCCCATAGTCTCGTTGGCCCGCTCTTAAATTGCATGAGCACTCATGCAATCAAAAGCAGCTTCTTAAAGCAACGTGCCATGCCTGTGCCTTCTGCAATGTTGCATGTAATTTCTGAGGTGGAGTATAGTCAAGAGGCTGTTCACATGACATTACTTCATCAAACCTGAGAGTGTTACTATAGCCACTGACAGGATACGAATGGCAGGGTGCCTTCTTCAGATGCCCAGCATCCAGCACGCACTTGCTGCCTTCCACCATGCTTCAGCTGTGTGTGTACGCTCGAGGCTTGTGGGGCTTTGAAGTGTTATTGCGCTGGAGGCAGTACAACTGAAGCACCTCCCTGCCCTTCTCGTTCTGTCAGTGACTACAGTATTTGTTTCAAGAGGTAAGATGGTTAGAGGTCTAAAATAATAATGCAAACGCCTAAAGTTGGTTGGCACTCTGCAGCAACTTGTCAGTGAACGGCAAACTAAAGGTTGGCAAAAAGTACAGTTAATTGTACGATGTTAACTTCGCAGTTCACTCTGCATAAGTAGGCACTAGGCCAGTTTTATAAGGATGGCCCCTGCATTTAAAAAATGCCACCGTCCATATTTGAAGTTCATTTCCAAAATCTCTCTAGATAAAAAAAGCTTTAACCACAAAGATGGCGGTGCGATCGAAGCTTGGATACAGTAGGTTTGCAAATACCGATTTCCGGTAGTATATAAGTAAATATTTGGAATAGGTCACTGGTTATCTAAGTCATAATACAGTTTTAACAGCATCAAGGAAGGTTAAAGATGACTGCAAAGCCTGATCATCACGAAATTAGTGTTTGTCTAGAAGAACAAGTTCAAAAGAAACCACCTTGCATAGAAAAATCTTGCCACCCTGATGCAAACATGTACAATTTACAATTGTTAGGACACAATGAATTCAAGAAAGAATTATATTATAGTATGTTGCACTGCCTAATGTGCAGTGTTGATGTACAATGCTGCATACCACTGTGGAAGTAGTTAGGTAGAAACTTTTAAGGCTGATTTTGCATAAAGATATAAAAAGATTAACAATCCTCGATTGCTACCTGTAGTGTAACAATCCTCGATTGCTACCCACAGGTCAAGAATGAAGTGGAAGCTCCTCCCACCTCTTTCCATTTTAGTAGTGCGAACGCTGGAGAGGAGACGACCTCCTCTCCACCGTTTGCTCCGCTGAAGTGGAAAGGGGTGGGAGGAGCTTCCACTTCGTTCTTGACCTGTCACCGACTATAGATAATATTTCCAAGCCTTTCGACTGACTTTATCCTTTTTCGCCCGGCAACCTGCCACCAATCACCCCACTGATGTATCGCAGCGTGGCAGGGAACATTCCGAGTTAATATTGTCCTCCCCAGAAGCCCATTGTTTATCAGTACCGCTAATTGAACGCTCACAGCAACCTAACTAGAACTTGACTGCATCCAAAGCGCCAGCTAGCAGTGATCCGCTTAACTCTCGCTAAATAATATATTTGATGTTGACCAACTATTTTACAAGTTCAGCAAAGATTACAACCAGCGATTGCTGTTTTTATCTCTAAGTTCGACCACATTTGTACCATGATGAAGTAGTAGATTAAATTAAACATAACCATGAACTACAACTCTGTTCTTTCAAAATTCTAGAACCAACTTTAAGTCCATCGTTCCCACAAAAGCCTTAACGGGAATCACCTTCCCGTCGCCGTCGTCTCCATCACTAACCCCTCTGCCTACAAGTATGCTGTGTCCGATCATCTGTTGCAACCGCTCTTTGTACGTTTTTTTTTTTAAAGCTTTGTTTTACTTTTTTTTTTTTTTTTGACACCTGCGGCCTTGAGAGTATGCACGTAAATAAATAAATGAGTAAATACTCTGTACGTCACCACACACTTTCATCTCCCTCTCCCTCCGTTTATACCTCTATAGTTTCAGAAAAAACAATATTAGTATCGTTTATACTTAAAGACGACTACAAGATATAACATACCCCAAGCTCTTTTCTGCAAGAAATATGGGACTGAATTACAGGTGGCACATAAATGCGCATTAAAAGCGCGGAACAGGCGACGTTACCTGGGCGTCCACCGGGTCCTTTGAACGGCTGGGGCTTCTTTCTGGGAAGCTGGAAGGAAGTCAGAGAAGTTGTCAGGACAAAACCCACTGGTGGATTTAGAGCATCGGAGTGCTCCATGCTCATACTCGCATGTGCATAAAGCGCCGAGAAAGAGGCCCTTTAGATATGCTCCACACCCACCAGTGAAATTCGCCACTGTGACGGATCCAACGAAAGTTCCTGACATGACATCAAGTAGCAATCTTTGCAATCTCAACAGATGTGTTCCAAAGTCCACCTAGCCACCTGATCAGTTAAAAACTCCTCTTTCTAATGGTGGCACTGAACATTGGAAATGACTTAATTTCCATAATTTTTGTGAATTTAGCAACTTGAAAATTATTGCAAAAATAGATCACACAAACATTTTACCCTACTGTCGCAAATATGCGGCGTACCACTCTCAGTCGTAAAATTTTGTCCCTGTGAAATATTCCCGAAACTCACTTTTTGCAAATCCTGGAGTTTGCAAAAACAAAGTCGTTTCAACCAAACAATGGGAAGCAAAGTCTTGGGACAAGGACATAAAGATGTTTGTTTCTGGTTCTTTGCTCCTGATCTTGGGTTGTCACAATGTTAGACACAGTAATCCCTCGTTATAACGAAATTACTTTTTTGAACAATCGCTTTTGTCGAAGTTCAAAGTGGTCCCGACCGAAATTCGTGCATTTTGAACTGGATTATTCTAAGTGTATCGGCGGCTGACCACGCTTATTACGAAGTCCGAGGTGCCGAAAGCACGCGAGCCTACACGGAGACCCTTGCTCCTTCTCCTTCTCCACCAAGGCAAACGGCAAATTGGGAAAACTGCAAACAAGAAAACATAGAAAATTGGCGACGGAGGGCAGAGCGTGCAGTGCGCCACTTCTGATGCCGATGCGCCGACGCAGCTGTCGGAATCGGGTCAAGGGAGCAATGGAGCCGATGGAGCCCGGAAAAGATCATCCTGCCCCCAACGCATGCGCCTGCGGCTTGCATGTGCGTCGTATGGGAGAGTCGGGGTAATTACCAAAAGTCCCTTAGGCCTTCTAGGCTGAGGAAAGTGGCTGGCCCCAGTTCAAAATCACCAAAGAATTACACATTCTGGCACTGACTGTTTGACACTGTCCAGCATTTTGCAGAACATGCAAGGCATATTGAACGGGTTCGTGAAGTTTTTCATGCAAAACAAAGCGTGCCCGCAACCCGAAAATGAAAGATTGCGAACTGCTTCCCGCAAGTCAGTATTTCTCTCGCGAGCATGCTTGCCGAGCGGGCACACGATTCCCAGAGCTGCAACAATCTCTACAGGAGTGTGTGCAAACATGTTGGCAAAGCCACCAAGGATAACTTCGATTTGTTTGCACTTGTTGGTGCGGACGTTGCCGCTGCTGCTCCTTCCACGGATGCAGCGATCATAGATCTTGCATGCGACCAGGGTAAACATTAAGTGATGCTAGAGAGACACCTCGGAAAACACCGACAACTATGGAAATGGGAAACATCCTACGGCTGCTTTGAAACAAAGTGGAGTCATGGAATGCGGTGGTGATGACAGCGTTCTTTCTATGCCTGGAGCAGTTCGAGGAGAAGTGATGCCCAGGGATGGATCTGGGCAAAGTAGCTTTGGAGCAATCTTGGCAGCAGAAAAAACTACAGTTTGGAGGAGGCTGGGAGCAGCAAAAACGAGGTCTTGGAGCAAGTTAGGAGCAACAGCGAGTTTTAAGAATATTAAAATACAAGCTAAATGTCACCCGATTTTCAAAACTAAAGAAAATATGGCATGCAGATAACTCCATGTGAATTTAACGGTAGTTTCAATGAACTTTTTAGTTGCAAATATTTTTCACAGAATTATGTGCAAATTACACAACATATGAAGAAAAACTGCACATGACAGTATTACATGTGATAAAACCAACTTGCAAAGAGGTAAAAATAAACAGGTACAAATAGCTTTCATTGCTCAGCATTGACTATACTCGACGACAACTTTTCTTGGCAATGCAGTGGAAGGTACAGGCATGCATTCCCTCTCTCATTTTGAACGCTGAATAAAGCTGCGCACAAGCTCTCCTTCTCTCCTCTGCATTGCCAAGAAAAGTCGCTGAGTATAAAAAGGTGCACTGAAAAATAAAAATGCAGGTAAAAAATGGTCTTGCACTTTTCAGTGACTAAATAAGATAAGAAATTACCTTGTAAACATGTTGTGTTGATGTCGACAAGTTGCAAGACTTGATTAACATGTTGCTAGACTTGATTAACATGTTGTGTTGATGTCACCAATGTGTTTTCTCAATGTGACAGGTCCTTCAGTGTGAACAAGACATCAGCACTTTTTCACATTTTACTTCTAAAAGGTATTGGCGGGTATCAAATTTTACTGTTTAGGTTAGTGCTCTATACGAGCACTTTTCAGTGCATTAACACACTTAATAAAAACCCTTCAATTAAAAAAAAAAAATTGATTGTTTGCTTGTGTTAACAAAGTAACACTGTGTAAACTGCCCAAAGTGCAAGGCCATTAAATCTTGGTGGGGCCTTACATTCACCAACAGAATAAGCAGTTCAGACTGACAAGAAAGTCTCAACATTCTAATAAAGTTTAATCAAGAGCTTCACTTTGGAAAAGGGTCCACTATCAATTATTTGGGTTTATCAAACCTCGTTGTAGACAAAGAAACCCTAAAATGAAAAGGTGATCTCAAACGTGCCATGTACAAATGTCTGCCAAGCCTGATAAACATGCAGTGAAGACAGTATCTACGTAACAATCAGTCCCTTTTTCAGAAACTGTTTAAATTAAAAACAACCACCTTTTATCTTAGACTGCAGACTGCAGCACTCAAGCATGTAGGACAAGCGAATTCCCAACCAAAAACAAGCACTGCCCAACCAATCTACTAATAGGAAGGTAAGTCACCCTGGCTCCTGCCTTCAGGCTCTCCACCAAATCCTTGTGCCTCTTGCCTGAAAGATGCTGTTGAGGCAACAAGCATGGCATCATATTAATAAAACAACCAAGCAAGCTTCCAGAGAAACTTCGAAACCCAAACCCCCAAATGATGAAAGAACAAAAAATCTGCAGGTTTTCGCCCCAGTGTGCAAAGAAGCTAGAGCAATAGCTATCACTACCAGTAGTAGTGCTCACTTTTATGCACATCCATTCTTAATCACTTGCTCACAGACAACACAGCCTTGCAGTCACTGAAGTATGTGGGAAAGGAAACACACTCCACACGAGTTAATGCTCCTGCCTAAGGCTAAATTGAGACAGGTACCGCCAGTGGTGGGTTCTGAAAGTATACGCAAATCGAGGAATGGGCGGCAGCATCCCCTGCCAACTGTGGAAGACAACAGCACCAGCAAGAGCCAACTGCATGCGCTTTGCCCAATGCCAAGTGCATGCGCTTTGCTTGACGTCACGGAGCGGTGCATGTGAAACAGAGTTCTTCACCTGACACAAAGCCGACGCCACGAATGCTGCTAGAAATTCCTATAACGGCTATCGTCGTAAAACTTTTTCAGAAAGTAAGAGTGTGGGTAATCACCTGAAGGAGCTGCTGTGGAGAGCTCAGGGTTATGCTGCAGACGTCGCACACTGGCCTTTCAGCACGTACGCCGGTACCTGAAAGGCAGTTTGAGAACCGACCCCATTCTGTTTTTGATTGTGGCCAAGTGAGAGGGCTAGCTTCCGTGCAAGCATGGCAGTCCCACTGTGAGCCAACTTTGCCTGTGCTTTGCATTGACTGAAAATCATAAGTTAAATCATCTCAATATTTATTTTCCACCTTGTCTGAAACCATGTGTTTAATCAATAAGATTATTATGCAAAACTATTTTAAGGAGCCATAAAACGATTGTGATACTTTCGCTAAATACTACTTAAAATCACTCCCTAACGTTAATAACCAAATAAACTTGGCTTAGATTATCTTTCTAGGCAATGGTAGTTGCCAAAAAAAATTGGAGAAATGTGAGCAATGTTCGTCCCGTCAACTCGGAGCCAGAACAAGCAACCACGTGGCGTGGTGCCTATCCAATGCCGCCAATGTTAACCATAGCCCAGCGCTGGAATCGGCCAAGTAAGAAACGTGTGCTGCGCTCTAGGCATTGTTAGAGTTCGGCTGTTCTCATTACCACAGTAGTTGGACACGAGCTACTACCCGAGTGTACTTATCTTATCATTTCTGCTCGCTCTAAGGGCCCGTTTGAATGGTACCGTTTGCTTATGTTACATTGTTATGGAAGCTATTTTGAGTAAAGGATCATTCACACAACACAGTTGGTTTACATTGCATTATGTTACAAGAGCTTAGGTCTGCTAGCGTAGAGGGTCACTGGGACATTCATTCTTCGTAAGAAGCGTGATGACCAATTAAAGAAGTAGCTTTGCATGCAACATTCGAAGTATGAATATCCTAGTAACTCATCACTTGACGTAAAAAAACATGAGCAAATGCTCCTATGTGAATGGGCCTTAAGACCTTTAGAGGGACACTTCAACGAAATTTGAAATATACCCGTCGTGTTCAAAAATAGGTCGAATATGATCCACAATATGCATAAATGACAATCACTTGTTTGTATTTTGAGCCTGGTGGCTTCATTTTTCGTTATAAATGGCCCACTCTGGCAAGCGCTCAAAGAACAACCAGCGGAGAGCACGTGACATCCAACGTAATCATGACGTAGTTCGTCTCAGGACGAGCAAAGCTACGGCGAGTGAGACGTCGAGAGAATGGCCTAGTCGTTCCAGCCATCAAAGCGGCTACTTTTGTACGAATTTTGAGTGACGGGTTAATCTTCTATAATCTTGTAAAAGAACAATAGCGACTTCTGGGTCACACAAAAGGAATTCTCGGGAAAAGGGGAGTTCCTCCTTCCCCTCTTTTCTCGTCAAGGCCGGAGGTGAGACAGTCACCGTCACTACCTCTCAAGGTTTCTAGACGGGCATTACAAACGAGGCGTTAGCGACATCCACCAGGTGCTGTTTGGTAATCGTTTAATTTTAATTTGTTTTAAAATTCCTTTTCGTTGACCTTTCTAACAAGATATTGGTGTGTTCGATGTGATACTGCTCCTTTGAACATATATAAACCATAAAATAAGCGCCAAAATTTCGTTGTAGTATCCCTTTAAGCTTCCTTTGTTACCTCAGTGATAATTTACAACAGAGGTAACCAAGGCTCTCACCATCTCCAGGATCTTTGGTGCCGGGGGCCTGAGAGGCGTTCTTCTTGGCGGCAGGAGCCGCAGCAGCTGAAGGTTTCGGGGCAGGGGGACCCTTTGGAGCTGGATGCTGGGGCTCCTTGGTGCCAGGAGAAGCGTACCCGGGGGGCGGCTTGACCCCCGGGGGAATCTTCATGCCCGGCGGGAAGTTGGTCAGACTGGGGTCCAGGTCGAAGGTCTTGCAGCGGGTCTTGTGCTTGTTCCCCTTCACGTGGATCTCAAACTGCTCCAGGCTGTTGGACTTGGCTCCGCAGATGAAGCAGTAGGACGTCTTGAAGACCTCCGCTGCATGCATGAATTGAACCATCATTACATCCAACACAGAATCAAGATCCTGATGCCAAAGAACGCCAAAAATTTGGGCAACGGATGCTGTGACTTGTTTCCCCGGCCTCGAGCGCCTTGCAACACAAGTTCATCTTTGTCAGTTTTTTTTATTTATTTATACTGTTAGCCCGTAGGGGCTGTTACAGGAGTGTAACAGATACACAAAATAGAACACTAAGTAGTACATATGAAGGCACATTTTTGAACACTACAACTCACGAAAGACAAGAGTACACTATTTTGGTAAATCACACTGAATACACAACAAAAACATTTTTACGTATAATATCTTCTCAGTGCTAAAACTTACAAGAGCGTACGCCGCTGAGCGCGCAAAAACAACATCGAACAAAGGCTGATAAAAAAAACAAAAACAAGAACACATGAGCAGATAATAAATGGAGTCACGGAAGTCCCAATCCATTTAAGTATCAAAAACATATAATCTAAATTATCCAGTGCCAAAGGGAAAGGTTTGTTAGTATTGATTATACAATTTAGAAATGCATGTTTCAAAAGAAGCTAGGGTATCACTTAATACTATTTCTTCGGGGAGGTTATTCCACTCCGATATAGTTCTTGGAAAGAAAGAATACTTATAGGTATCATTATTTGGTTTCTCTAAATTTATTTGACATGGATGAGTACTTCTTAGATGCCTAGATACATGGGGCGTTATATAGTTACTTGTATTAAGGTTAAACATTTGATTTCTCAACAGGAATAGGAATTTTAAACAAACTATTTTCCGGCGATCAGAAAGGAGGGGAAGACTTAACTGTTTAGGCATTTCATTTAGTGATTCGGTTCTTCGATACTTCGACAGTACAAACCTAGCAGACATTCTTTGCACCCTTTCTAATTTTCTTATTTGGTAACTTCTAAAAAGATCCCAGATAACAGAAGCGTATTCTAAAGTTGGCCGTATTAACGTTTTGTATGCAGTTAATTTTGTTTCAGGTGGAGCGTACTTAAGGTTGCGCTTAAGGAACCAGAGCTTTTTTTTGGCTGCGGAGCAGATGTTGTCAATATGTGCGTTCCAGCTTAGATCAGACGATATTGTAACGCCCAGATATTTAAATTGAGAAACTTTAGTCAAAGGTTGGTTATCAAATTTGTACACAAATGGAAGAACGTTATTCTTTTTGTTAGTTATCACAGAAAAGACTGTATTGTCACGATTAATTTTCATTCTCCATTCCTTACACCATTCTTGTACTTGCTGTAAAGAGTAATTTAACTGTACCTGATCACGGTGACAAGAAACATTTGTATACAACAAGCAGTCATCTGCGAAAAACCGAACAGTAACATTAGGCCCTACTTTTTCCGTAATGTTGTTTATATAACACAAAAATAATACGGGCCCCAATACAGACCCCTGGGGAACGCCGGAGGGTACACTTACAATAGCTGAATTCTTTTTGTTTACTTGCACATACTGTATTCGATTTGTGAGGTAGGCTTTAATCCACAAAACAATGTTTTCATTTACCCCCAGGTTTTGTAATTTATGAATAAGTTCAAAATGAGGCACCCGATCAAAGGCCTTTGATGGACCGAAACATATCGCATCAATTTGCCCTCTATTATTAACACCTTTGGCAAAGTTGTGTACAGTTTCAGCAAGCTGTGTTACAGTCGAGAGTGACTTTCGAAACCCATGTTGGTTAGAAAAAAATATGTTTGAATCTTCAAGAAACCTATACAGCTCCTTAGACACAATGTGCTCAAGTATCTTACAACAAGCACACGTCAGCGATATTGGCCTATAATTTTTAACTGAATGCTTATCTCCCGATTTGTGCACTAGCACGACTCTCGCTGTCAGCCAGTCCGAAGGTACTTGATGGTGCTCTAAACTTTTACTGAAAATAACAAATAGGTACTTGGACACCCACTCCGCGTAACGCTTTAAGAATGCGTTGGGAATTTCGTCTGGTCTCGGTGATTTTTTTATGTCGATCTCTAGTAGTAAAGCAAAAATACCCTGCTCAGAGATAATCAGATCTGGCATAGCCGAGAGCCGCGCGCTTCTTATCTCTTCAACGCTTTTATGTGTGTTTTCACTATCTACAAAAACAGATTGAAAAAAATTATTAAACACATTTGCCATTCTGGCGGGATCAGTAATGATACGGTCATTATCGGTGACATATTCCACACCCACCCGTGACAGCGCGAGATGACGCCAAAATTTTTGTGGTGATGTCCTCATGAATTGAAGCATGGATTCTGAAAAATACTTTTCCTTTGCGTCCTTTAGTTTACATTTCAGGGTATGCGATAGTTCTTGAATAAGTGTGGTATTGCGAGTTTTTTTCTTGCGGCTGCGGGCTATCTTACGTTTGAGTTGAATTATTTCTCGGGTAACCAACGGGTTTTGTCTTGCCACGCGCTTAACCCTTTTTCGAACGAATCTATCCAGACAGAAGAAAACTACGCTTTTAAATTGATTCCATAGTTCATTTAAGTCTTCCACACCCTCTAGAGAAGAAAGTTGTAATTCTAAATGGTCGAGAATACTGACGTCATCGGCTCTGTTAAAGTTACACACTTGCGTGGTTAAGCACTTTGCGGTTCTGCACGTTGTTGCGACTTTGCAGGATAGCAATACCATCTTGTGATCTGACAGTCCGTCTTCAACGCTTACTTCATTATTTGTTAATTGTTCAGAGACAAAAATTAAGTCAAGTATAGAACTAGATGACCCAGTTATTCTAGTAGGTTCTTGAACCACCTGCACGAGATCGTTACAAAAAGCTATGTCCAATAAAAGTTCGCCATTGTTGGTTTCAGTTGGTCCTGGTTCTAAGTCATCCCATCTAACTCCGGGTAGGTTAAAATCACCCGGAGTTAAATGGGGTAGGTTATAATCACCCGGAGTTAAATTGTCCTTCCAGGCATCAGGATAGAGGTTATAGTCCCTTCCCCTGGCAAATAGCGAGGCCTAGTAGACAGTGAGGCCTGGCAGATAGCGAGGTCTGGCAAGTAGCGAGGTCTGGCAAGTAGCGAGGCCTGGCAAATAGCGAACCCTGGCAGAGTGCGATTACAAACTTGCAACTACAAGCACCCAGTCTCGGTGGTCAAGCAATCGCACCCAACGGCACACACAAAACGCAGCAGAGGCGCTTTGCTCGTTGGCAGTGTTACCACTGTACTCCCAGTTTTTCACACCCCCACCGGCCAATGCCTTGCCAGCCCAAAACTCATCCTGCTAGCTTTACCTTACTTTAGCTTTTAAGTAGGGTTCCGTGTTTTCAGAGTTTATTTTTTGCCGGGCGGGTGTTCATCAGTTCATTTTTCGCCAAAAATATGGTCCCGATTCTCCGAAATTAAAAATTTTGCAATGCGTTTTTTACTTAAAAAAAAGAAAAGGAGGAAAAGGGGGGGGGGGGGGGCAAAAAAATGCTGAGTCACTGAGCTATGGACCAGTCTGCAGTGTCTGATATACGGCACAGCACAGCAACAGTGCACGCTCAGAAGGCATTCCAAAGCCCAGCAGACAAACATGGCAGCACGCAGCAGGCAATTTTTTGCAAAAGTCTATAGCTTTTTTTTTTTTTTTTTTTAAGGAAACAGGACATGGGGTTGCCCAACCCCCATGAAACATGTGCTGGTACAGGTACCAGCACTGGAACATGTTTCGGTACTGATAAAAAGAGAAATAAATAAACAAACAAAGAAGTTGTACACTTAATTGTGGGTGTCTAAGGTGATTCAGATACAACAATAACTCGTGGGTTCCCATGCTCTGTTTCACCCTACGACCGACCGCAGCGAATGCTACGAGCAGTCAGAGCCAATCTAAGGCTTTGCGAGTGTTTGTGACATCGGAGGCTTCTTGGCAGAGCGTATCACGTGCTACGTTCACGGCGCTGGATTGGCCGAGATGGCTACTAACGTCACTGCGGTTGGACGAAAGATGAAACTGAGTATTGGGCAGGAGATCGAACTATAGGGAGCGCTCTGACCCGTTTGTTTTCCCCACGCTCGGTGTTTACTCAACACAAGGCCTGTGCGCACGCCAACAGGCCTTATGGGCATGTCCATGTCATCTTCTACAATAGAGCGCGGGGCACAGTTTAATGTAAAAAAATACTAACAATCGACGAAGCGACGTTAAGTGCCGGATCTATCCTCAGAGAATGCGAGCTTGACCCACTTCGGCTTTTGTGCTGAGCTGGGACCATGCATGCTGCATTGTTCATGCAGGCCGTAGTGGAAACAAAAGAGCCCCTTCTCCCCCTCACCGGAGAACACGAACTCCAGCCGAACGCTGACGCCGCGTTCGGTTATGTCGGCCGAGCACTGAGTCATTGTATTTATTGTCCCCATCCATGTAGTTGTAAAGTTAACCGCTTGCGGTCGTCACGGTCTGTCCTCCTCCCCAATAGTCACCAAACCCGGCACTTCCTCACTCATAATGCTTGCACCTTTTTCGGAACTAGTTTTCTTAATCTTTAATTCCCAACAACCTGTCATATCTGTGTACACATACTGAACTTTAAAATTAATTATGAATAGCAAAAGCATTTAGCTTTTTTTTTTTCTCTCTCCATGTATATGGTTCTATATTTGGCGCCAACTATTCTGTGCTATGGTGTCAATGCTAGCGTAGCTTCCACAATGCTGGGGCTTCGTGCTGGTGCTCGTTGCGGCTCATTCGCACACTCTCGTGCAAATTGCTTTGACGGCATTGGAGCACTTTGCAAGCTACGCTAGCCTCAATAAAAGAGCACGAAATAGTTAACACCGAGCATAGCAACCAAAAAAAAGTGGCAATAATGAATGGTATTTGGGAAGTTTACCTATTTTCTCAAGGCTGCCATATTTCTCAAGTCGTTCCTGAGTTTTCAGGTGCCTTCGACCCTCGAGGTGCTCTTCCTCAGTCCCAGGCGAAGTTTCTTGGCAAGTCTCACAGAAGTATGATGACTTCTTCAATAGGAAGAAAAAAGAAAAAAGACAAATGGTAAGTGTGAAGGACAGCAGAAACCACAAGTTCTACTACCCTGATTATATTAACATAATCATGAGTGCCCTAGTCGCACCCTTTAAAAAGAAAAAAATGACTTCTTAAACCTTTTTTAAAATTTTGTTGTCTTACTTTTTGTATGTTTGGCATTGGTATGTGATTTGTTATGCTGATTTCAGAAATGTAATCAGATTTCGTATATGTTTTCCATGAAACAATAAACATAATTAAAAGAGAAATTAGTTCATTTCTTACAGGGTTTTAAAACACTTTCCTATTAAAATATATTTTTTAAATTGGGGTCACTCGGTTCCAAAAGATATGTCATGCGAGTTAAACCTATTTTTGATTCTTTAAAACCAAATAATCTGCAAAAAAACTCTAGACCAATTGGAGGGCGTCAAATAAAAGCTATAACAATGCCCAGTTGTGGGATATTAGTGTTATCATAATAGAAATAACCATAAAAATAGCTTTAGCTTGCAGTCAAGTTATTCTTAAAGAAAATACCAAGTTCATAAAAAGTGGCTAAGTAAAAGTTTATAAAAACAAAAAACGCAAGGCTGGAGCATATGTTGAAAAAAAAGAAGCCGAGGAAATCAACTTTAACATTTGAATGTAAATAAGTCAATGTTTCAACTTCCGACAGACAGAATCTGTCTCGCTTGAACTGTGGACAATGGAGGAGACACGCGCCCAAAAAAGCATCCCGATAAATAAACATTTTTAGCCCTAAGAAGGGCTTTTTTCGGGTGTGGCGTCAAAAACGCCTGCTGGCCTTCAAAGCCCAAGGCTGTAGTCCTGCGCTGTGTCTTCCCTGTGCCTTGTGGAGAGCTGATTCTTCATGTTGCTGCTGCCAAAGAACACCTTGTCGGCCTTGTGTAGTCTATCATTCCTTTGGATGCTTCTCCTGATGAAAGCGCTGCCAGTGGTGTAGCCTAGAGTTCCTCGATATGCTTGCCCAAAGGGGGAGCAAAGCTGCGCATCTGTATTCGCCACGCCACCATTCGCTGAGATCGATTACGTGAGGAGCAAAGCATCCTGCGCCGTGCAAGAAAGCCACCTCAACGGTCGCTTCGCCAACATCGCACGCGCCCCGGCGTATGTTCCCCTGCTTTCGCCCCCTCCTCCTCCTTTTCTGTTTCCCATGCGCGGCGGCGCACGCTGCACCGCTATTGGCCGAATTTAGTCATGTGACAAGCAAAGCATCCAGGGCGTGCAGGAAAGCCAGCACTACGGCCACCCACTGAGGCTGAATGCGCAACTCTGCTACCGTGGGTAGCTATATACAGGAACTCTAGTGTAGCCCAGGCTTGCCACCAAACTCTCGTTACTCTTCGTTTAATCCTGGCTGAAGACGCTCACAGCTTCGGCAACAGCCCTCTTTACACTAAACAGTGATGCGTGGGTGCTTTTTGAAGTTTGTATCCAGATGGCAGTGTGCAGACTTTCACTGAGGTTCTGCGTTTTACCGTCGCTGCAGCGTTCTAGCAAGTCTTTGTCGCCGAGTTTGGCAAACAGTGCTTTCAGTGCTTCTAGAACTAAGTCTGGGAGGGCATTCTTGTGGCCACATGGCTGCTCACTGTTGGCCAGAGTTCTGTTGTAGAAGGACCAAGAGTTTGCAAACCTCAGGACAAAAGCTGTGATCAGGACGCTCATCTGTGGAAGACGCGTCAAAGGGTGGCTTGCACTGCCCTCTGCACCGCTGAAACGTCGTGGCTGTGGCTCCGCAGGGCGTAACCATGGTAATTGGTTGTCCTCTTGATCCTGTCTTGAGTCAGCCTTCCCTTGCCCCCCCAGTACTTCGCCTTGGACCTCTTCTTGTCGACAGATGTGCGCAAAGCCGATCCCATGAGCTTGTGGATGTGATTTAGGCAGCCATTCTCAATCTCCACAAATCTGTACACTGCATCCTCTGTCAAAGCATGATATGTCCTGCTGTCTCTGTCAGAGAGGACTGCTGAGCATAGGCCAAGTTTTCGAAGGACCTCCTAAGCATTTTCAGTGCCGCCTCCACCTCCGTTTGCCCAGATTTACAGTAAATGTTCTTCTTGCACTCTTGCTTGTGCTCTGCAAACCATGCACTTTTGCAGGTTTGCATCACAGTTGGCTGATGGGATTGAAAGGTCTTGCAATGTAGGCCTCTATGTGAGAGGTTCAAGGCTGCACAGAAGTCAGAGAGGGCGGTTGACTCCTTGCCAAAAGCAGGGATGGAACTGGGCAAAGAAGCTTGGGAGCAGAAAAAACTGCAGTTTGGAGCAGGCTGAGCAAGAACGAGGTCTTGGAGCAAGATGGGGGCAGTATACGAGTTTTAAGAATGTTACAATAGTGTCTAAATGTCACCTGGTTTTCAAACCTAAGGAAAATATGGCATGCAGATAACTCCACGTAAACTTAAGTTTCAATAAACTTTTTATTTGCAAATATTTTTGATAAAATGTCATGAAAATTACAGAAAACATATGAAGCAAAACTGCAGATGGGTGTGACATGTGATGGAACCAACTTGCAAAGAGGTAAATAAACAGGTGCAAGATGTGGTAAATATACAGGTGCAGGTAAAATGCAGGTACAAAAAAGCACTTTTTTTATCAGTAACTAGAATAAGATAATGAATGTCCTTGCACATATAAATCTATTGGGACTTCTTCATCAAATGCTCACGGATACACTTCATTTTTTTTTTAGATTCTGACCCAATTTCACACTAGCCTCCGTTAACAGCACTTGTCCAGACTCAACCTTCTCTATCTTTTTTATTCAGACCCGGCTCACTCAATGACTGCACATGCTCAAGCATAGTGCGCAAATAGATGATGCACTGTTCAAGTTGTCGCTCTTCTTCCCGAAGACGAGCTCTTTTTGTACTCACTGCCCTCGCTTCCCTATTCCTTCTCTCCTGCCTCTCATCATCGTGCTTTTCGATCTCCAGCCTTTCTGTGTAAACTTTATGAGACCTCTTCACAACTTGCAGCAAGTGTGCTGTCAAAGGTACTTTCGTGACAACACTGTCAAATTGTTTCGGTAGCTCTAGACATGGCGCATACCGGAAATACTTGCGATACCCAGGTTGGCTCGTCCTTGCAATTGGAGCCTGTTTTTGTTAAATCCTCTTTCACCATGCTGCACTGCCATGTGCAACTGACAGCAATGCTCTAATCACGAAACAGGAGAAGGTGCCTTTGATCTTGTGTCAAGGAACTTTTTAGGTTGAAAACCTTGGCCCAGTACTGATCAATGCCTTCTTTGTCATTTTTAGAAACATCTTCACATTTCCAGCTGCACTACTCATCTAGAAGGCTGGAGACCTGCTCAGGTTGGACAATTTGTGGTACAGCACCAGCAACATAGTTCAGTGAACGAACTACTTCATTCGTGTCAGCTGTTTGGCAAGCTTCCAGGAATTAGAGGTGAAAAAAGAGCCTGTTGTCCAAGGGCAGCTGCTCCAAAAGCGATTGTGCACAGACCAAGTAAAACGCCCATACGTTAGTGCGGAATGCTCTTTCTTCATCTGGTTCTTATGTCTTCATCTCTTCTGTGTCATGCCCGATTTCTGGGACATCCTTCCATATTTTGGATGACTCGAAGTTGAGAAACTTTAATCGTTCCGCTGACTTGGAAAGGATGTTCTGTCTGATGAACCGTGACAGTAAATTCTTCCTAAAGCCAACAAGCTTGTTGTGGATGATGCGCACCAGGGGCTTGTCCATCTGAAATAGTGTTTGGAATCAAGAGCACAGGTCAGCAGCATTCTTGAGGAACAATCTTTGCCAGTAGCTGCTTGCCTTCAGTGCAGATGCCAGCCAGTTATGCTGGGGGCCCACAGATGGCCTGACATGTGCCTTCGACTTGAAAAAATGCCTCAAGGCTGGAAGTTGCTCTTGCAGCCATTCAAGACTTCCCTGAAGTGTCAGCCAGCGGTTGTTGACGTGGCACAAAAAAACGTGTTCAGGAAGACCCAGGTCATGTTGGTGCCCTTTCACATCCGATGATTTGGTGGTGCTCTTGAAGTGCTAATAGACATCAATAACCAGTTGTTCAACGTCCATTCCGAAAACATTGAAGTCTTTTGCAAACGCCTTGTGCACCTTGTGGAAACTGCACCCCCCTATGTCAAGGAGGTTAGGACTCACTTGCACTTGCAGCTTTCTTTCTACTCTTCATGATATTGAGCCAATCTCTAAAAAAGCATACCAAGTTGTTTTCGGCAAGTCAACCAATGCATCTTCAATGCACCCTACGATGGTATCTGCAGTCGCACGGCCTAACTTGAAAGATTGCAGATGCTCAACGACCACTTTGTTCTGGATGCTGGCGAATTAGTGAACGAGCATGTCTAGTTGCTGCACACGCTGTTCCAGCTTTGGAATTTCATCGATCTCTATTGCGAAGTAGACCCCAGGCTGACAGAGCTCTTCCTTTACTTTAGCCATGAGGTACGGCACCAAGCCATCCGACACGATGCACGAAAACATTTTCCTTCCACATGTGATTTTCTTAGACACTTGTGGGTTTGCAAACATCAAAGGAAATAATATGTTTGCTGTACCGTCGAACAAGTATGGGACCGATTTCACGAGAGCCACTGCGAATGCTTTGCGCACCTCGTCTGCAAGTGACGCACACAAAACCGACGCTGGGCTTGAAAGGTCTATCACTCCCTGGCCCATTTTTTGGGGGTTCCGGGTCCCCATCCTAGCTTTATGATCTAGCAGCGGCATCCACATGTTTTTTCGATGAAGCATCGCATCTAAACGCCGCCATACTATGTTGCGTGCAGGATATCACAACGATGCAGAGCGAGCAAAAACTGTACGTCTCGCGGGCGCCCTTTCTGCACCTTACGCCAATCCCATCCCCGTTGCCTTCTTGTTCCTTCAAAATGAATTCATTGAAACTAGTCTGACGAGCTGCAAGCACATTGGGTGAATTAGCTACTTGGTGTGCACGAAGTAAACATAAC